ATCATTCCATTGAAATATTCATTTCAATTGAATATAAAATTCGACCAAGTATTAATTTTGTTTTGTAGCATTCGCTTGCGCACCGCAGCATGTTTCCTTTTCACTCGTCCTTTTCCGCCATGTGCTTTCTAGGATTTGGCACACACATACATGCTAGTTACATGAACACACTGCATGTCATTCGATTGCTGTATATCCTCACGCACGGTCTAATTAAAATCGTTGTTCTTAAACCATTTTCGTGTTCTTCATTTTTAATAAAGAAAGTTGATAGTGTTACAGTTTTTCGAAATCATTTTTTTTCATAAATTAGATATATTTCTAATTTTTTTTATTTTGGAATTTTAAACTTCAGAATGGTAATGAACATTTTTTTCAAGGCCAATTCATCAACATCCATAATTATTGCTTTCCCCAATTCGATAACCACATTTCAAACATACTTAGGATGGGGATCGAGGAAAATTTGGATAGTAAATCAGGTTTCGATCGTGATATCATCAGTATTGTTAAAGCAATTATTGATATATAAGCAATATGGCCGAGTAATGGGTTGCTGGAAATCTCCAGCAGCTACATTATGCGAACACCTTGCATTGAGGCAAACGGTTACATCAATCAGAAAAATCTCGACCGATCAATGGGTCAATCGATCCACGTTGTCGGTTTATGAAGCCCCAAATCTTGGGTTCGAGTCGGGAAATCAAGATCAAGGAGATTTCATTTTGGAAAAAAATGTATTAAAAAGACTCATCATACCCGGTTATCGACCCAAGATGTGGTTGAAGGCGATCAAATTTTTAATCCACCCAGAAACTCGTCAAATTATGGTTAAAGGTTCCATCTGGTACGAAGTGTACTCGGAAGATGAGACACCAGAGAAAAAATTCAACCTTCAACGGATAAGAACGTTCGGAGAAACAGTTATCATGAATAGCGAACGTTTATCACATATAAATGATTTTATTTATAAATGATGATTGATGATTATCTTAGTAAATTCGCAAAGAATAATATTAATAAACCGGAAAAGAATTATTTATTTTTAATTTGTGATTCATTTATTTATTTATTTATTTTTCAAATAAAATTTCATTCTTAAATATTTATAATTAACAAATATATAATCCTATTTGAATTATTTGAATATAATCGATAATTATATTATGAAAAAATCCAATTTTTTTAAAATATTATCTTAAAGTGATGATTGGCTTTATGTTATCAGTTGTTTGTTGGTGTGAATGTATTGGTGTATTTATGTGTATGAAAGGCTAAAGGCTTGTGATTGAGTGAAATTGAATAAGAAAAAGAAGAAGAAAACAAACAATAAGACAATAACAACGCATTCTGGAATAATTATCAAAGTTTCTTTGGTGATTTTTTTAGTAGAAAAAAAAATTCTGCAAAATTTGCAAATTTATTTGTTACAAATAATGATGATGATGAAAGTGAATGAAAAACAACTTTTTGCTTGTTTGTTTGTTTGTTTGCTCTAAATCTATTGTTTATTTAATGATGATGTTGATGGTGATGTTACCGTTATACATGTTGATAAATTAATTTGCTCTTGATTTTTTTGATGATAATGATGTTGTTGATGATGATGATTTTGATTGTCTGATTGATTGCTATGTTGTTGTTGTTGTTGATGATGATGATGATCGGTAGTTGATGATGATGATGATTGTGTTTGATTACCACGATTACCACGAAAAAATGATCCAGATCGTTGAAATAGGCTTGTTGTAAAATCCTGTTTGATTGATGTCGGTGTTGATGATTGCTGTTGTTGGTTATCCACATTTTTATTATCATGATTACTAATACTTAATGTATTCATTAATGGAAAACATGATTCAGATTTTGGCCTTGGCAGTTTTGATGATGATGTTGATGTTTTTAATTTATTTTTCGAATGATTCATTTTTTTATTGAATATTGATACATCACTTTCACTATCATCACTTGGGCTTTGTGCCGACATTGTTAATAATTCACTAACAGCTTTTAATTCTGATTGAAAATCTTCACGTGGACAAACAATACTTGGATTTTTTCCAATCTTATTTAAACGTTCAGCAGCAATTGATTCCATTGTACGACGCATTAATGGATACATATCTAATACAGCATTAAAATGTTCGACGGATAATGAAAATAGATTACAATATGTTTCAGCTCGAACACTTGCCACTCTACGTGTATTGGTTAATAGACAGATTTCTATTAGATAATGAAATAATGAAATAAAATACAAAATGGTTTGGCAGGGAGAGAAGAAGAAGAAAAAAAAATAATATCATTAGACGATTAATGTAATAAAATCAATAATAAAACAAGAGAAAAAAAACGTTCAAATAATGATTGATTCATGAGCTATCATCATTATCATTACCTCCAAAATATGATCCATCAGAAAGACTGGTAGCAACTTCACCGGTAATCATAACAATATCGACAATACCTTCTTGTATGAAATACATTTTATTTCCTATTGTACCTTCTTTAATGATTATATCTCCAGGTTGAAATACTTCGTATTTAAGACGTGTAACAATTGAATTGACAAAATCGGTATCAGCATTGGCAAAAAATGGTACCGATGCAACCAACGCCCTACAATTATAATTAATGACATCCTGTATATGTGTGTTGTTGTTGTTATCGATATCGGGTGATTTTAATGGATGATTGCATAGAAATTGATAGAGAATAATTTTTATTAGAAAAAAATTGAAATAATGAATCATACGAAAAAAAAACAAACAAATACCTCTCGTAATCTTTCTGATAATTCATCAAGTATAGTATCTTCATTGAAAAATTTTCCTTGATAACGATGTTCAAAATAATCACCAATTCGTACACGAAGATCTCTTGGTAATTTTCTATATGCCATATATTCTTCAACTTGTTTAAGCTTTTCAAACAAAAAAATAATTAATTAATTAATTGTAAATTTCAAAAAAAAATTTCAAAAAATTACTTTTTCACGATATTGACGACGAGATGAATCAAGTGATTGAATAAGATTAGTTGTATGACCAAGAAATAATGCATAACAAGTTGCACCAGAAATCATACTGAGCAATGTAAGCCACATATCTGTTAAACTTTGCGGTGGAAAACGTCCATAACCAATGCAAAGCATATGAGACATTGCTTTGAATAATGACCAAGAATATTGATCAAACCAATCGGCATCCTATGGAATTATAGTTTCAAAGCAAACATAAATAAAACTTGAAATGAATCCTTGGATTTAAAAAAAGAAAGAATCTACCTGAAGTTCATTGATTGCTACCCATGAATTGGATGGAAATCCTTGTAACATTGGTACTAAAAATTGTAAACATCCACTCCAATGACCAATCAATAACATCATACAGATTAGATTGAATATTTTCATAAATACGCTTGCCATATTAAGAAACTGTATATTATGATGATACATATGAGAATTTGCAAAAAAAGTAATAATTATAATAATATTGATTAGAAAAATATCAATCAATCAAAACAAAACAAAATAAAAATATTGTTACTAAAATCATAATTAATTAATTAATTTAATATGGAAAAAAATACAATATTTTTTAACAAAATAATCGATAACAATTCCGATAAATCAAACATTACATCAGATTAGATTGACTAGATTATTATTATTTGCCATATCAAAGCTTGAAAAATTTAATTTATTTTTTAATTTATCAAATACATTCCTTTGCCCTCATTCCAACCGAAAATAATTGCATAGATTTCATAATAAAAATAATAATGAAAATGAAAATGAAAAACGAAAATTGAAAAAAAAATCCAAAAACAACAACAACAAAATGAAGACAAACATCTACAGGCAATATACGCCCACACACACACACACAAATATCAACAACATTTTTGGAATCATGATTCTGTTGTGGTTTTTTTTAAATTCCACCGATTCTAGTGTGAATTATCCATACACGAACACACACACACAGGAAAAAAACAGGCAACAACATTTCTTAATAATTTTAAAATTTGTTTGCAAAGTGAATTGATTTACATAATAATAATAATCATCATCATCATCAAACAATAAAATAAAAATTGGCATTCAAAAATTTCAACAAAAAAAAACAATTTAGATTGATTCCATTAATAAATCCAAGCTTTTTTTTCAATTTTCTAACTTCGATACTGATTATGAAATGAATTGATTTTTTTCAAAATCAATAAAATTGAATCCGAAAGTGATTGAAAAACTTTCCATTGTTTTATGTTTTTGTCTTTTGAAATTGTTTTGGATTCCAAAAAAACAATATGGTAAAATGAAAATGATCATCATAAATCATAATTCATAAACATATGTCTATGTTTATGAATTGATTCAAACGAATGAAGAAGAAGTGAGATGCCAAAACATCTGGTTGTCTTAATGGGTGATTGGATTGTGTGTTTGTGTTTGAAATGCAGTTTAGCACTTCGAAAGAAAAAAAAATGTTATTCATTTTAATTTATTGCCCAGTTTAAACTTTTAACTTTTCATTAGAATTTTATTTTTTTTCTTTCTTCACTTAATTTTAATTTTAAATTTCAAGTTTTTCATTCCTATAGAGACTTTTGAATGGAAAAAGAACATTGTCTATTTTATGTATAAACCGAATGTCCAAGAATGGTGGCAAGAAATGAATTTATTGATCAGATATCGATCCGGAGTAGAAAACGAAAATCTAAATCCTGATAGTGTTGGTGGCTATAAATCATCGATAATTTTTGTTGACTTTTTATTTATTTAAAAATCTCCTCTAGGTACAATTTGATTCTTTTGGATAAAACAAAAACAAAATTTAAATTTTTGCAAAAAAAGCTATTCTCAAAATCATTTTTCATTATTTTTTCTTGTGTTGTTTTTTGACTTTTGAATATTCTGTTTATTATGTGGTCATTTTGTTCCAAAAAAGGGCCAAAAACAAAAAAATTTGCTGAACTAAGATTTTCATTGTTTTTGTTTGACCAAAAATTTCAAAACATTCTTGATGATCAACTACAATGGCAACCAAGAAAAAAAAAATAACGAACAAGAAAATCAAATCTTTGGATCTATTTTCCTTTCATTTTTCACTCGATTGATTCTAGTTCCGGTGATTCAAACAATAATACTATCGAAACAGCAACATCGACAACAAAAACAACAAAATCCAATCGTAATTGTCAATAATTGATGATTTTTTTCTGTTTGTTTGTTCAAGCCAATGAAAAGAAATGCATGCATTTTGAAAATTTTTTGGAAAACACACAGACACACAGAGAGAAAGTGCGAAACACGCATAATCAAGAAACAGAATAAAAAAAAATGAAAAGATTCTTATTCAAATAGCACACATAGAAAGAAAATGAACAGATTAAATGAATTCATGCTGAAAAGAGAAACAAAAAGGAAAAGAAATAAATCATTTCATGAATATTTTGGTGAAAAAAAGAAAGATACATTGATTTGGTATTATCGTGACCGTACCAAAAAAGAAAAAGAAAAAACAGATAAATAAACAAACAAACATTTAAAACAAGATCAAACAGCATAGGCACATTTAAACATCCAAAAAAATGGACAAGAAAATTTTTCTTTCAATCCATCCCGATTTCACATGAATGAACAAATCATGCTTTTGAAGGAATTTATTTTTCGAAAGAGAACAAAAAAAATATCAAGAAAATTATAAGTATTTTTAACACTATTAAAAAACTAATAATGAATTTTTAAGAGGTTAATTAGTGAGTTTAAAACAAAAAAAAAATTAAAATTAAATTAAAACAAAAAAGGATTTACCTTTTTATAACCGGGTATTTTGCTTAGATTAATGAAAAAACATTTTTGATCTTTCGACATTGTCATATTCGCTAAGTTTGACATCTTTATTTATTTTTTTTTAGTTTTTTAAAGTTTGTTTTCGCCCCAAAAAATCAGATTCATTATTAATTATTTATCAAATTTCCGATTAAAGCGAATGTTATATTGTCAATTAGCGATAAATATAAATGGCGATTTTCCCAGGTTAACAATTATTATTATGGGTATTACACAGAAATGAAACAAAAGAAAATTGAAAAAAAAACATTGGATTTTTTTTGGAATTTTAGGAATGTGAAAAAAGATGATGGATTGAAGAAGAACATTCATTACATATAAATAATTTGCAAGCACATATAAAAGAAATCGGGACAGGAATATCAGTGAAAAACATTTTTCGTTTTGTTTTTCAATGGAAGAATTTTTGTTTTGTTTTTGGTGAAGATTAATTGGCAGATGAAGATAAGGATGATGATGATGATCATAATAATAATGATGGATCGAGGATGAAATTTAGATTCAATAGGAGAAATGAACAATAAATTAAAAGAGAAAGAAAGAGAGACAAAAAAAAGAGAAAATAAATTGGAATTATATTAGATTGGATGTTTAATTTTTTTTTCAATAATTATTATTATTATTCTATATAGCACACTTTATAATTAACTAGATCAATTATATTAGACAATCCAATCGTAAAAATTATCATCATCTATCAAGAATCTAGAAACATTCCAAACACAGCACAAAACGACACACAAACAAACAAACAATGTTTTGCTAAATGCATTTTTAACCAAAAGCTTGAAACCAAATCAATCAAGTAGTATAGATGGAAAGAAATCTATGAAGCATTATTATTAGACATGCAAACACGAATAATAATTACGTAATGATAAGCAAACACTTGAACATCAAAATTAACAGGTGATTTAGGGAAAAAAAGAGAAACAATAAAAAACAAACAAGCATTTAGAAACAGGCAATAATTTTGCACCACTCATTTTATATATTGTGTAACCATTCATAAGATTTAGTTTTGGACAATCAATTGAAGAGAGAGAGAGAAAGGAAAAAAATCAACAAACAATTTGAGAAAAACAGACATCCACACATATACGTTTAATGGCAAATTCTGATCACAAATTCTTCAAGATAAAAATGTTTTTTTTTTGTTTTGTTTCGATTTTATTATTGGCAATAATTGGCACAAAATTATTTTTTGTTTTAGCAACTGTTCATTTTATCATCATTGTCAATATTTTTTATTATTATCATCATTATGATGATGTGCGATGATCATTAAATGATGAAAATTATCGTCACGAACAATGTGCGAAAGATAATACAAGAAAAAAAGAATCAATTATCATGATAAGAATTGATAAACATGCACACACAAGATACAAACAGAAAAAAGCAAAAGAAGAAGGAAAATGACAAAGAATCAATTATTTTTGTTTGTTTCAGAATAAAAATTTCGATGAAATAGCCAAAAGCTGATTGAAAATAATGAAAAGATTTGATGATCCAATGAACAAAACTGAAAGAAACTCATCTATGATATAACTACAATGTGATTATTATTAATTTCTACTTTGCTCCAAGATAGGTTAATGATTTCCTGGGTACCAGAATCCACCCCGAAAAAACAAAATTGAAATTCCTTAGTTTTTTTTTTCTTTTTTTGGAGATTCTGGTACCGATTTTTCAACAATTTATCTTTTCGGTAGGAAAAATGTTTTTTTTTGCTCGTCCCCGTCGTTATTCTCTTTAATTTAGAATGAAAAAAAATTTGAATTTTAAATTGAGAAGAAAAATTTTGTTTCACTTTTTTTTGCATGAATTGAGTCAGCAAAATGAAAGGCTTAATCATCTGTTTGTTTGCGTTTGCATTTGCGTGATTTAGTTTGCTATATCGGTAGAAAAAAAAATTCTTTGTCAAATTAAATGATTTGAGAATAATATTATAATATCACTGTAGTAAAACAGGCGGAATAATCATCATTTTATTCAGTTTTGATTTAGAAAACAAAAAATGACAATTAAAATGTTATTTTTTTGTTGTTGTTGAAATAATTCTTGCATGGTTCTATGAATTTTATGAATCAAGATAATAAAGAATTTGTTTATAAATCATCATTAAATGATTAAGATCTTAACAAGAGAGAGAGAGAAACTATAGTAAAAATTTGGCCTAGTATTTTGAACGAATAGAATGATAAAAATTGAATTTTAAAAACAAAATTAAAAAAAAACTCAATTATAATTTGGATTTAAATCTCTATGAAAAAAAATTTTTATAAATTTTCCAAATGAAATAACAATTCTCTTCTTCCTGGTCATTCTGGTTGTCGTGACAACCCCTATATTTTGTCAATTGTCATTATTTGTTTCAAAATTTTATGTTAAAGTTATGATATAATTGAAATTCATTAAATTAAAAAACTTTGTAACTAAAAAACAAAACAAAAAAGACAATTTTCAATCCGAGCAAATGAAAAGATAAATTATTTTCCAAATGAAAAAAAATGTTAATAAAGCAGAAAAAAAATCTAAACATTTTGGTTTTGTTGTTTCTATTTGTTCTTCATCAAATTAATCAATCAAATGTGACATTTTTTGCTTTGTGAATAAACCAAAATATTAAAAAGAAGCGACTATTCATTGTATCGATTCAAAATGAAGAGAGATAAAAAAAATTAATCAAAAGAATAAGCAAACTAACTAATTAACTAAAAATGAAATTCATTTAATCAATCAATCAATCAATGACGAACGCACACACATTCACCAGAAAAAAAAACAAATTAGTGATAGAATACTGATTATTTCAAAATCAGTATCTCTTGATCTCATTAGCATATTACTAATTATTATTATTATTATTGTGAAAAAAAATCTGAAAATGAATTTTAATTTAATTTTTTTTTCATAAAAAAACAACAAATTTAATTAATGAAAATAAATGAATCAGAAAAATAAAAATTTTTACTTACATAAACTTCTTCCCATTGGCTAACATAACGAACCAAACGTGAAAGGCGTAATAATCGTAAAAGACTTAACATTTTTAATATACGTAATATACGTAATGCACGTCCAGCTTGCCAGATGCTTGCCTGATAATTATCATCAAAATCTTGATTAAATACAAGATAAAGATAATCCAATGGAATTGAACTGATTAGATCAAGAAAAAACCAAGAACGTATATAACCATGGGCAATTTGTTTTGGATCTAGAATCACTTGTTCTGGCAAATCTGGATTCATTATTCCTTTGTTTGATGAAAAAAAGAAGAAAAAGTAGAAAAAGAAAAAATGAAAGTTATCAACATATTATTTAATTTCTCACGAAATTAGATTTTTACAAATTATAAACACACAAACTAATTAAGGCTCGACAACAATAATAATGTTTTTAATAATTTATGAATTTCTGATCTGATGAAATTCTGACTCTTGACTAACATTATTATTGGTTATAAATTGTCTATAGGGAGCATAATTTTTTTGCTTAATTAAATGTTGAACACACATTTGAATGAAAAAAAGATTCTAGACACGAATTTTATTTTTTGCATTCATTCACTTGTTATTAAAATGAATAAATAGGGAAAATAATTCCAAAATAAAAAACGATTCCATTGAGAATCATTGTTGCTATTATAAATATGATTATAATGATGAAAATGAATTTATTTTGTAATTACTAATTTCAATTTTATTCAAAATGTTTGTATTTATGTCTGGTCGATTGTAATTAGTTTAATCTTTTTAATAATAAGAACAACAACAATAACAAAAAAAATAGTATAAATTACCTGTTCGAAAATTGACCAAAATATCTAGTAAAAAAATAGTATCGGATAAAATATTGAAGGCAATCCAACGTGTAGATAAATCGTCTTTGAAGAATGATATTGTCACTGGTAATACAATCAGATTGGCAACCAATAATAATAACATACAAAGATCCCAATAGAACCTTGATTTAGAATGATTATTAAAAAAAACAAAGAGAAAAACACATTGTTAAATATATATGGAAATATTCCAGGAAATAGTAAGGAAGTGAAAAAAAATTGTATCGTAACATTTTATTCTTTACTTTTTTATTATTATCTGTTCATTTCATTTTGATATCTGTTCCAAAAAAAAAACAGCTTGAAAATATGTCGAATGAATAAATGAAACAAATGTTCATAATGTTATCGGATACAAGTGTTTGATTATTAAAATAACTGGGAGAAATTATTGCCGAGAACAAAAAAAAAAAAAAAAAAATACTGACCTGAATGTACTACATGGATGAATGATGAATAGGCCCGATTCTTTTTGTCGCATTCGTTCATTCATTAAGGCTTTCTTACTACCAAATAGTTTCATTGCCAATTTGTTATCTGGTTTTTTTTGTATGAACAAAAAAAAAGAGGGAGAGAGAAACAAAATAAATGATTAATAAATACAATACTCGAAAATAACAAAGAAAAATTACATGAAATGATAAAGAACATTTTGGAAATAAAACTTCCAAAATTCATTCAATTAGTTGCTTCAATATCAGCAACATATTTGGGTTACTTATTCTTGATTACTGATATTTACATATGACTAATGACTATGAAACAGAACAAAAAAAAATGTTTGATGACATATGTTTTTTACGACTAAATTTTGAAATTATTAAAATATTGTTTCTAATTTGGTTTGGTAATCAATTTTTGTACTTGTTTCATACCTGAGGGTTGAAATAAAGCTTCAATTTGGCTGCGCATGAATGATGGTCCTTTTGAATCACCAAGACTTGGTAACATTTCCTCTTTTGGTGTTCCATATAGGCTAATATTATCTTCTTTATCCCATATTCCACCAGCCGATGCAGTTGAATCTAATGATTTAAACATCATTGGTGGTGATTTCTGTGGTAACATTGAATTATTATCCGTTTTTGTATAATTCATTATTTCCGGTGTGATATAATCATCAATAAAATCGGTGACTGTTGTTTGATAACAACAAACACTATCTGTATGATGTAAATGAGGATGATTGTCTGTTGTTGTTGATTGTTGATGTTGTAATTTACCATTACTTAAACGTGTTTTATTTGTACCCAATAGGTTGAGATTTTTTCGTAATGTTTGATTGCTAGAAGGTGTTGGTGATTTATTATTTGATAATAATAATTGTTCCAATTGTTCATCATCGATTGCATCGATTATAAAATTATTTGTATCGGAACGTCGAAGAAAATCATAACATGCACGTGCTGCTACTTGAGCATTTACATTAACATCATTAGTATTATTTGTATCACTTGAATATTTAGGCGATAAATTCGGTGTTGTTGAAGCCCTTAAACTTGATGAACGTCTTCGATTACGACGACATAATAGGCTATTATTTGCAGTATTACAATTTATAACAACATTTCCTGTTAATGTTGTTGTCGATATTCCACCGGTAGTCGATGATAATGTTGTTATCGTTGGTTTGATTATCGTCGAATCATTTGATTGCAATGACTGTGGTTGTTGTTGTTTATAATCATCATCGAATGATAATAAATTTGGCCTAAAACACATAATCAAAAATAGAAAAAAGAAAAATAGGAGAATTATGACAAGATAATGGATGAATTTTCAGGAAAAACATTTCCCAAATTAAACCGAGAAATTTCTTCTGGCGTTATTTTTTTAATATTTATCTCTCCCTCGATTTTTTTCTATTTATTTAAACAGAATAATTCATTCATTCATTCGTATTTGAAAATTAAATTGGGAAACGAGAAAACAACGAATATCAAAAAAAAAAATTCGACAAACCCCCTTACAAACAAACCAGATAGGTATATTCATGCTTCATTTGAATTTTTCTTTCGAAAAATTCACAAACCTTTTTTTCTGGTTTCTAAAACTCTAGCAAAATTCACTTTCCAAAAAAATATGAATAAAATTAGTTGAAAAACTCCATATCCATATAAACATGGGCATGATCAATCAAAATGAAATGAAAAAAAATTTAGAATAAATAACCTTTGTTGTTGTTTGTTTCCAACCATAGATCATTCACGGGTAAATGTATACATTTACGGAAAATTATTCACCTGCTGACGTTGTATTTTTTTTTCATTCAAATTTACTTGTATATTATGAAACCGAGTGTCAATATCACAAAACACACACACACACCGAACCAGAACATTACATTGTGACAAAATGAAAAAGTTGACGTCTGGACCCATCCACAGGATACACATACAATGTTTTCTTTTTCGCATTCGTTTTTTTTTGCTTCTGATATCCATTTTCAGATATGCATCATTTCAAAGTTTTTTTTTATTATAAACATTTTCATTCTTTGCTTGTCGAAAAATGATAATTCATTCATTCATTCATACAACAAAGAAGAAGAAGAAGAAAAAAAAACAATCATCATTTTTTTGCAAACATCTCGAAACGTTAAATATTATGTTGTGCATTGTCAAAACTTCTCAATCTAAGATTCTATGATTTTTTTTTTGTTTATCAATGTAAAAAAAAATTTCATGTCATTTTATATTTATATATGAAATGACATCATCAAATACACGATTTGATATGAAAATTTTCTGAAATGAAAAATTTAAATTTGAACAAAAACTGGATTTTTATTATTCCACAGAACAGATGAAACTGTAGTGAATAAAAGATAATTTGAAAAAAAAAGATTATTGATGTTTATTTGTAAGTTTTTTTTTAATTTTGTCAATTGAAACAATATTGGCAATTCCCATTTGGATAATCGAAAATTATTTGATGGTTGTCGAAAAAAAAGACGATCAGAAACAAATCAGAAAAGCAAGTTATCCTTATCATTATCATTATTCATAAGTGAAAAAGTAATTCATTTCCAATTACACTTGATTTGATTAAATGTTGTAGAGGTTGAAAAAGATTGATTTTAAAAGAAAAAAAACGGGCACAAAATTGAAATTGTTTCGAATGTATGTCTGCCGATTGCTGTCGAGAATTGTAATTGGCTGGAATTTTAATTTCATTTTCCTTACTTCAACGATTCAAATTCTGACATTCATCCTGCTATACTCATTCATTGTAAATGACTTTATAGTGATGACTTTTGAAATTGAACCAATTTTATTATTATTATTTTGTTTTCGATAGTTTTGTTCGAATTGAATTTATAATAATAACTGACAATGACAATCGATTGATTGTTGTTCATTTCGTCAAAAGAAAAAGCAGATCATTCCATTCATTTTCTTAGGATTTAGAATTGTCTATCGCGTATGGTGTATAAATAAATTTAGAATCAAAATAAAGATTTTCTTCTATTATGAATCAAAAGTGACTAAAACGATTTATTTGGGCTGTTTCGTTTTATTTCATGTTTTGTTGTTAACTAATAATACTAACAAGCAATCTTTTTTTCTTCTTCTATTTGATTTTTATTCACAAATACAGATCGAAATGAAAACCGAAAAGACAAGGAAAAAAAAAGAATAAAATCAAATAGTTGTCGTATGAATCTGAATGGAAGATTTTTGTTTTCTTACTAAATTCTTTTATGTGTGTGTTTGTCGATATATGTGTGTGTGTGTGTTTTTGGTTGTTTACTTTAATGAAAATAACAAGAATAAGAAAATACCGAAAATATACAAACATTTTTGTTGTTGTTGTTGTTGTATTGATTATACATCGTCGTTATTATACAAACAAACAAACAAAATAAAACAAGCAAGGAAACAAAAATGGATCGATTTTGTTTCTTGAATTTGATCTATCAATCTGAAATAATGAGACAAAAAAAATGCTTATCATACTATCGATGTGAATATCTTTTCTTTTCAGAATGATAGATTCAGTTATCTTTTTTGTTGTTCGTAATCGTTATTAGTTCAATCATCAAATTGGATTTTTTTGTTTTGTTGTTGTTTTGTTTATATCCAATCATTCTTTTGGATTGATTTTGAATGAATTGGGTAAAAAATATTCAGGAAAAAAATTAAGATTTCAAAAGAACATATATTCATTTGATCAGTACACATACACAGTGTTTATCATTAAATAAATAAAAACGAAAAAAAAAGTTTTACATCAAAAAGTTTTATTTCAAAAAAAAAGTTCATGGCCATTAATTTAAAGTTTAGATTTTCGTTCGTTTGTTTGTCTATGTTTAATTCATCGAATAATGAGATTAATTCTTGTTGTTGTTTTTTTTTCGGTGGATAAAATCACAAAGAGATTAAATAGGAAATGACGATAGTATAGTATCATTTTTTTCTGCTGTTGTTCAAATAATAATAATAGATTCACAATAAAGAATGTCACAATAAAGAATTGAAATAATATTTCTACCGGAAATTTGTTTCATTTTTTTTTTTTTTTTGATCTACTCGAACCAACAAAAAACCATACTGATTTCAAAGCAACAATAAAAATTGAAAAACAAAAATCTTTTATATCCGATTTTCTTAAGAATCTTCTTTATTATAAGATTTTAATGAAAAATTCTATTACAATCAAAGTTTTTTGCTTTGTTTGGTTGTTTGTTTAAACTAAATAAATTTAGTTTCGTTTTTATATGGCCAACTAAAAACAGAAAAATATTTGATAATCACATCTAGGGATCAAATCGAGATTTATAAAATTGGAAAAAAATAATGACTAAGACAACAACAACAACAAAAATGGAAAAAATTCCTTTCGGCTTATCGAACGATATACAGACAAGAAAAATAAGAGTAAAAAATAGAAAAATCAAATCAGGCTTATAGTTCAACATGAATGAATGAATTGAAATAAACATTTTCATCTTCATTTTATAATGAATGAATGTCATTAACGATTGAGTAAGATCAGGTAGTGAATATAAATGTTAAATGTTATTGTTGGTGTCGTCGACGTTATTCTTAATTAGCCAGAAACACAACAATGGAAACTTGATAAACAAAAACTATCGACCAAAAAACAGAAAATGTTTTCATCCAAATTATTCTGACTTTTTTTTTGTTGTTTTGTTTTTGTTTATAAAAATCCCAATTATTTCATGTTGTATTTATTTTCACCTTGTAAATTCTATGTTGTTTTGTTTTGTTTTTGTTTAATTTTTCTTGATTTCACGGAAATTTCTCTTTTTTTTTGTTGTTGTTGGAACACATAGAGAAATCAAAGTTCATTTATTCTCGTTTCAAGCTGTTCAAGCAATTCAATGAGAGAATTTTTCTGTTATTCACATCAATTTAAATTATAATCATAGTAAAATAATAATTTTTGATGACAGTGACAGAAAAAAAACTTATGTCTCTATAGACTATTATTGTAATGTTTGTATAGGGACTTTCATTAAGATTTTTTTTAAAATTAGAATTTGTTGTTAGCAATTTTTTCCGTTGTTGTTGATCATAACATTATCTATGAATTTTCATATGGGAATTCATTTGCCGGGTAAAAAAAAAATTAATATTCACTTTTCACTCATATTCAATTCAAATTTAGTGTTGTGAAAAAAAAATTTAGAATTTTCTCCATGAAAAAAACGAATAAAATGAATTTCAAGTGTCATTCTGACACTATGAACGAATGCTGCGTTCGGCGGAAAAAGAAACGAAAAGAAAAATCTCACTTTTCCAATTACTGATGACAGTCATAATAATTAATGTAATTAAATTTAATCGAGAATCATGATGATGATGATGACAGTTTTTTAATATTATTCATTATTTTTATCGTGTCCATATGATTCAAGAATTTACCCATAAAACCTAAATGACCAAACCGATATTTTACAAAATTGCTAGAAAAAATTTGAATGTAAATTATCGAAATAATTTTCGAATGGAATTCACTTTCTTGAATCATGAATTTATGGTGAACACTGGTGTCAAATCACCATCAATAGATTTTGACAGGCTAACGAACAAACACATTTTTTTCGGTTTAATCGACAGGAATAATGAAGAATCATTAAAAATTCCCGGAAAAAAATATAATAATCGTCTTTTATATATTCAGTTAGTATAATGATCATAATGTTGATATGGTTCAAAATTCAAATCCAGGAAATCATCATTTAATAGAAAACAAACTCTGATAAAAAACCAAACTGTTACGAATGAATCTTATAACCACAAGAAAAACACACAGACGCCAATTTCCAAGTGGGAAAGAAAAAAACAGAACAAAACGAAACGAAAAACATCTGAATGAAAGTAAGACAAAAACCATTGTCTTATTTTTTTTTGGTTAAGATTTGTGACATAGAAAATACATTAGACATTGTTTAGATTATTATTATTATTATTATCATCATCATCATTACGATAATATACTTTTGTTTGTGTGTATTTATATGATTTGATTCTATAGAGGAATTCTATTCTATTTAATGTTTTTTGGTTGTTGTTGTTGTTATTGTGAGAACAAAACTTGTACTTGTGAAAAAAATAAATGTGGAATTTCACTCTCACTACAAGTTCAATTACGAGGTATCAAAAAGAAAAGCAAAAAAAGTTGGAAGAAAAAACAAAATAAAGTGTGTTTGTGTGTGAAAAATGATGATGATGACAATGATATAGTGGAAAAAAATGGTTTGAATCAACAAACACCAACAAATAATCACTGCATCAAGCTTTTAATCTTGATAAGCAAGCAAAGAAAAACAAACTTAAAATATATTACAATGATGGATCATAATGATAATAATGGATGAATTCCATCAATGAATTAGATTGTTTTTCTGCTTTTCTGTAGAAACAACCAATATACCTACATATCAATTCAGGATCAATCAATGTGATTGATCAGAAAAAAAAATCTATGAAATAATATTGATCGATAATCGAGTTTCCCATACACACATCATTACACAAAATGTAAATGTCAAAAAATTTTATCATTTTTCACTTTTTATTTCCATATATGATGATCATCGTCGCAGCCGACGATGATAAAATAAAAAAAACTGGAGAAAAAAAATGGAAAACATTAAATTCAAGCAAACAACAGCAAAAAATTTTCACTTTATTTTCAGAAAATCCAAAAATGTTTCTGCCATTATCAAATCATTTTATTGTGTTGTGAGGTGTGTGTGTAAGGAAAATTATTCTGTCAGAATTTTTTATTTTTCCCAAATACAGAATCTTTTTGACACTAATTTTATAGTCGAATGAAATAATTTCAATTTCAAATAAATTGAATTTAACGATTTTTTTTCTTCTTTTGTTTTTTTTATCGATCGAAAATAGAAGATAAAAAAAAGAAAAAAGAGATCAAACTGATAATAATTCAAACACAATTCACCACCATACATACTATGGAAACCAAACAAAAAAATAACGATGGACAAACACGAACAACCAAAATGATGATAATAATTGTATTATAACGTAAAATAATACAAGGAAATAATAAAAGTTTTCTTCTTTTTTTTGTTATTCAGGAACAACAACAATAATGTTGTTATTCACTAATTTATGGTGATGATTGTCAATTTGTAATTTCAAGTAAAAACAGTCAACAACAACAACAACAACAAAAAAGATAAATATCTTCTAATCAATCAGTTCTTGTTCATTAAGTATTCTGGAACTGAATTCAAACAATTCCAATAAAAATTCGGAACTCAGAATTACAAAGTTTTTTGCTGTTGTTGTTGTTGTTCTTTTTGTTTTCTTTGTTCTCAATATGTCCAAATTGAATGATTATTTTATCGTTTGTTTTTTAGGAAAACAATTTACTGACAATTACCAAACAAATTAATTACTGATGAAATAATAATGATCAGAATAGATATTCTTTGTTGCTATTGTTTTCTTTGAAAATATACCATACAGAAGATTCCAATTTTTTTTGTTGGATATCTTTTCCTAATCTCACTATACTCATTTCGCAAGAAATGATGAAATTTTTTTAACCAAAAATTGAAAAATGAAAACAGTTTAAAATTTTATCGAATACTTTTTTTCGATAAAATTTTAATTGGATTTTTATGATAAAAGCAGATGTCTTGGTAGTCTTTTTCGTTTGCTTACTTGGTCGATTGTGAAGAAATCGATTGTGACTGTAATATTGTTGTTGTTGTTGTTGGCACTGATGGTGTTTGTTTTGTTGATGATGATGATGATGATGATTTTGTTGTCATTGTAACGGTATTGTCAACTGGATTTTTTCCATTATCATTATCATTGTTAATAGTAGACATTGTATACCACCGTCTTTACCGCTATATATCTTAATGTTTTAAAAAAAAATTTTTATATTTTCTTTTCAAATTATTGCTTCAGAAATTTTTTCTTTTCATTATTTTTTATTATTATTGATTTTTCTTCTTATTTTTGTTTTATTCCCAAAAATATATTATTTGTTTGGTTCAATATTTTTACTTTTTTCTTCGGTCTTTCATCGGTTTATTTTTGTTTCGTTTTTCGTTTTTGTTCACTTCGTAATACCCAAGACATTTGTGGACATTGAACTATTATAAGAAAAAATACTTCATTGTTTTTTGTTTTGTTGTTGATATAATAATGATTATGGTCCGGACAGAATTTCTATAATAATCAATGATAAATGATAATTTTGTTGATCTTCTATTTTTTTTGTTTTGGTTTTATTATGCAAGTTTGCTTTTTTTTTCATTATTTATCTTCATTTGTTTTCAGGTACAAAAAAAACAATACACCTGTAAACAAATAATATTTCGACCAAAAAAAATATTATAGATTTGAAAACATTGTTTTATTTTTCAAGTCGAATTTGTGGTTTCCAATTTTTCTCAATATATTCTCTGTATATTCATTTCTTCATTCGATAATTATCATTTAATCATAATAATTTTGATAATAATTAATAAGAAAGAATAAAATGATCGATCAAAAGATGAATTTGATATTCCATAGAAAATGACATGAAAATTAATGCTGATGACAAAATATGATGATGATGATTGTTACCGTATTCATTTACATCTTTAGTTTTCTTCTTTATTCATAGGAACAAAAACATAATAATAATTTTATAATATTAATTATCATAATTGATTGATTATTCATAACACAATTTAGTTGATCTGGTTAGTTGTTTTTTTCATTCATTCATTCATTCATTCGTTCGAATGAATATCATCGACAAAACAATTATTATCACGATAATGATGATAATGAAGAAGATAACGAGAATAAAGTCGACAATTTTTTTCCATCTATCATCAGACAAATATTCAATGATAATACATTTATAACATTGATTGAATACAATCACACAAAACAGAAGAAGAAAGCGAAAATAAAATAGGCAGAATTTTTCTTGTTAATTAATGATTAGGATGTTCATTAGAATGATCATTTGATGTCCATTCGATCGAAAGAAATATAAGACATTGATTATGATGATAGTTAATTCTTTTCAAATCAAATCGTTTCGGTTTTATCAATATCAATATGAGTGGAAGGCATGAATTCAAATGTGTCGTCAATAGTCAGAGTATTCGCTGTGTGTGTGTATGCGTCGGGCGTCATTTTCGTTATGATTTTGCCAACATACATTCATACAATACACACCTCTACCAAACAGAATTCGACATTATTTGAACAGAAAAGAAATCTAACGGACGACTAACCGAACGAATGACGAACAAAAAAAAACCAAATGATGATGATGATGGTGACGATGACGACTACCGATGAAAGTTTGCAGAAAACACGCAGTTGCTACCGTAAGTTTGAAAACTCTTATCGTGTCGACGTATTATTTTGTTACCCTCTTATTTTTTATTCTTCGGCAGAACAAAAAAGAAGAAAAAAGTTAACAGAAGTAGATTACATTATCACAACATATATTATACTGAAAAGGAACAAATTCAAGAGAAAAAGAGTTCAATCTGAATCCAGAATTGGGTGGATGACATGATATTTGGTTTATTTTTTTGTTCAAATGAAATGAATAAATTGCCCAAACACAAATATCTGTCGTTCAATTTAATGTTATTGTCAATATAGAGATTATAATAATGATAATCATATCAGCAACAAAGAAAAAGATGATATGTTTGAAATAAATTGAAAAATATATTTTTGGTTTGATTTCCAAAGTTTTTAATACATAGTAGTTGTTTAAGTAAACAATGATTATAAAAAATTTTCGAGAAACAAAAAACCCAAAATCAGTTCATCAATTCAATAATATCTCACGTAATCAAGAATCAGATTGTGTGAAAAAACAAAGGAAAGAAAAATGATCAAAATCATTTAAATTATTCAGCAAAAAGAAAAGAACAATTTTTACGAAACGTTTTTAAAAAATGATGATGTTTATTTGTTAAATTGTCAATAGTTTTTCCTTTTTCTTTTTATATATTTGAATTTTGGATTTATTTCTGGTTCGTTTCGCTTTGTTTCATTTCAATATGCTTTTTTTTATATTGTTCCTAAAGATTTTTTCATTTGTTTTGCAGAATTTTGACTTTGTACCACCAAAAAGGTGAATTTTTTTTTTTTTGGCTACTTGAAAATGGATGATTTTCACATTTTCAATTCTAAATGCAATTCTTTATTGAAAATGAGTAGTTGTATAATATGTTATGTGCATGTAATATGAGGGATGTAGATGAGAATAACCAACCATAATCAATGTCAATGATGGTATCTGTTCACATTATGTCGATATACGTCATTTGAAGTTTTATTCATAATTTTTTTTTGAAATTTTTTTTCCAACATTAAATGGATTTTATTTCTGTTTTGGGTAAAGAGCAATTTGTCAGCAAAAAAACAAAATCATTTTTATTCATTTTATGGCAAACAAAATCGAGAAATAAAGATTGAAAAATAAATCGTTGAATAGTGAAAATCATGTGAAAAAGAGTTAAATAAGAGAGAATAAAATGATGACATTATTTTCACATTATTTTCACAGTTTGTTGGTAATAGTTATATTTAAACAAAAAAAAAAGAACCAATTCAATGTGGTTCAATTATCATTATGTTCAACGTAGAATATTTTTTTTAATCCTTAACATTCGCTTCATTCAGGATCATATTCAATTTAATAATTGATTTTTGTTCAAGAGAAAAAAAAATTGAGAAAATCAAAAAAAAACATACCAGCATTTTTTCATTCAATCAATGATTTTGGTCCACTGATGGTATTTTTGAAAAAAAAAGTTTTCCTATTCATTGTTTATATCATGAAAACTGAATTACACGGAAACGAATTTAAATTCAAAATGAATTGAATGTGATGACGAGAATCGAAAAAAAAATCGGTGAAGAAAAAAAGTTATTTTAATTTTTAATTTCAAACAAATTCTTCTTTCAAAATATTTGATGACATTTTGTTAACCTCAATTTTTCTATTCTCGGCTAATGTGATCAAAAAAAAAAGTTTTCATAAATGAAAGAATCAGGATTCCTTGAAAAGGGTATATAATGATAAATTTCCAACAACGAAAAAAAATGATTGTTGATGATTGTATGGCACGCGAATTTATAAATTTTTTCTTCTTCATTTCCTGCAATCTTAACAGCCAAAAAAAAATTTTGTAATCAAGTTGGAAATAGAAGAAATAAAAAAAAATCTTATCTTCTCTCGTACTGAGTGAAAACATATTTGAGGCAATTCTTTTTTCTTGATTTCAACGATGAATTTCTTAGCAAGTGAGCAGGAACAACAACAACAACAACAAAAAATTATGCAAAACTAAATATTCAAATTCACCTCGTATATCATCAAATGATATACAAAGCCATTAACAATCATTTTTTCATTATTATGATCAAATAGTTTGGAATTAGTATTTTTTGGGGATTTTAGAATTGACGAACAATGATGATGATGATGATGATGATGGAAAAAAGTAGCTGAATTTTTTTTCTTTGCTTTTTTTTCGTTCTTTGAAATGAAAAATCAATCAACCAAATCAAAAAATGTATTTTCATTTTTTATTATTTGCATTTCCATTATTTTCGATTCAAGAATCAAATTATTTTATTGAAGAAAAAAAAACTAGTGTCTTGAATACATTATAATATCGATTCGATATTATACATGATGGTGATAATATCATTTGATCATCATCATCATCATCAAATCGATTTGTTTGATTACATTTTTTTTTTCACTTTTCCGTCACAACGTTTTTCGAAACAATTGTACAAACTAATTTTATGAATTGAATTGAAACAAAACAAAACAAAACGAAATGAAACAATTACATTTCTGCAAACAACGTCCTCTATCGGTGGAAATTTGGACAACATTAGAAACATCAATGAGAAAATATTTTTGATCAAAATCAAATCGATTCAAAAAAAGATAACCAGAAAAAAAGTTGATCTTTTTTTCTTCTTCTTAATTTCCGGTACTATTCTTCTATACCGAATCGATAGAATGAACTACATCGAAAACAAAATAGAAATTATGGTCAACAAAAAAAATGGATGCTTTTTGTATCTCTGCTGATAATCATCATTATCATTATTTTGACACATTACGTACACACGAACCAGAAAAAAAACATTGATGATAAAAACCACAAAAAAATAAAACCAGAAAAGAAATAATTTTTCAGTACCAGACAAAAAAAAATCGAAATTAAGCCCTAAAGAAAATGAATATTCTTTATAATGACGACAACAACAACAACAACAACAACAACCATAACAATAATAATTAATAACTAATGCTTATGGCGTCATACATTACTTACATTCATCATACTATATTTATTTTATCATACGGTTAGCTATTTATCATTTGACATGATGCTGATGATTATAATAATAATGATAATATGGAAAAAAAACATCAACAACAACAACATGGATCTAGCTTGGTAAATAATAAAAGTAGAATATAAACACGGATTCAAGAACCGAGAAGAAAAAAAAATAAAACCAAACTTACCCAAATAATCATTATAATTAATATCAATAGTGAACATATACATTAATAGTGAAAAGAATGATAAAGTTGAAAAAAAACAACATCCACATAATAATAATAATAAAGATTAAAGAAGGAGAGAGAGAGTGAGAGAACGAAATTTATATAAAACCAGAAATTCTGAATAACGATCAATAATATTAAAATGATGAATGAATTTTGATGATAATAATGTTTTCGTTTAGTTCATGATCGTTAGTGGTTCATAGGCAAGCAAGAAAAAATAATTTACATCGATCATATACGGGAACATTCATGCATCCATCCAATCAAATAGTGATGATGATTATTTTTCGGTTCAAACATAATTAAGAAATATTCACTATTATAATGAACACTGTTAAATTCCAGAATAAAAAAAAAGAAAACTTTACACTCAATTTATTTTTGGGATGCAATTTTTGAAAAAAAATGTCAAAAATAAAAGTAAATTTTCTTGTAGATTATCATTATATTTTGTGTCGTTAATTGTTCACCATAATCAAAATTGAAAATTCACAATATTTTTCACTAATCGTTAATCATAAGAGAAAGAATTAGACAAAGAAACAAAAACAAAAAAATTTCCGATTCGAAAAAATGATCACTGTGGAGATGTTTCTGTTTGTTTTATTTGTTTGTTTTATGGGTTTTGTTTTCTTTTGGTGAACAAAAACTTGGTACACCTAACCAAAAACAACCATATAATAAACCGAATAATGTTTTTATTCGAAAAGAATCTAGAAAAAAAATTTTTCGATTTTGTTTTTAAATTTCTTACAGACAACAAGAATGCGCCAGAGTTGTTGAAATGATAAATCAAATTATTACGATGAAACAAAACCGAACTGAACAAATGAACATTCGAATGAAGAAAATTGTAAAGAATAAATTATATTGAAATATTATTTCAAGTAAATTTTCTTTTCTTTTCTTTTTTTTTTTGTTCAACTTTGATCTAACAATATATCTGTAAATGTAGTAATAATGACCATTTTTTGGTTTATCATGAAATTTGTTTCAGTTTCTAAGCGAAAAAAAATGAAAAATCAACCAGAATAATGAACGAATAAATAAGAGATAGGTTTGAGAAATAAACCAAATAAAAATGAAATTATTATTATTATTGACAATTATTTGGAGAATAATGATTGCTTGAATTGGATGAAATTTTTCCAATTATTATTTTATTTTTCTTTTCATTTCACACCCACACAGTATTAAAATTCTTAAATTTTCAAAACTATTTCCAATTTTTTCTTCCCATTGATTACATTAATTTTATGATTGTGACATAAAATTACATTTTTTTAAAATAAGCGGATCATGGTAAAACATGTGCGCAATAATATTTTTATATCAATTTTTTTTTTGAATCGATAAATCATTATAATCTCCCACACACCCTTCGCACATCGAATCAAGAATTTTAGATTTTTTTTTTGTAAAAATTTACCCAAATCAATATTTCAACAACAATCGCAACAACAAAAAAATAAAAATTTCAATTACGCTAGATGGCGTTTACTTTCATTAGAAATTTTTTTTTTTTTTGGTTCCGATTCGGTTATATTGGAAAACTTGTTGATTCAATATCGAATAATCGATTCAATTGTTACAAGGAAAACAAAAGGAATTTTAATTTATCGAAGAAAAAATGCATTAAAATTAATTTAATTAAGCAACAATACTTTGTTTGTAACATAAAATTAAGAAATATTATAAAATATCGATTCGATTCGATTTTTTTTTTGATTTCTTTGTTTATTGGATCGAAATGAACACAAGAAAACAAATGAAATTGAAACGTGTATGTTCATTCGGTTTGATACTAATAATTTTACAAATGATGATAATTCATGTTGAGAATGCATATCAAAAACGAAACGACATTAATTATAATGAAGAAAATAAGGTAATACCTTATAAAACTGTGTATGGTCTTTCAAATAAATGCACAAAAAATTCTGATCATCGAATAATCGACGAAAATTATCGTACATGTCAATTGAATGCGATTAAAAAATGGAATATAGCTTTGGCTGATTATGTAAGTTTTATTCATTCATTGATCTTTCGCATATGAAATTAATTTCCAAATATTTTCCATAGTATACCGAAACAGTGAATTTTTGTTGTTTCGTTTATGAAGTATTAGAATGTGAAACGAAAGTTTTATATCAATGTGATCAAGAATATTCTGATCGAAATGAAAAAGAAACCCGACGATTGTTTGACAAATCATGTCAACGGATTATGTCAAATAATGCTTGTAAAAAGGCCGTTGATGAGGGATCAACAGAAATTTGGAAATATGTCCTATATGTAATTGGTGCAGCCATTACAACTGCAATTTCCATTTATGCTTGTGTAAAAGGTTATAAACGACTCACAATTACTCCCGAAAAGAAAGCAATGGAATTGTATAAACAAGAAAAAATCAATCAACTCTATGAAGCAGAATCTATTCGCAATGTGTATGATAAGCAAGTAAATAATCTTGACAAAAAATGGTATCGAAATACATCTAAACAGATAAAGGGTGATTCAAATTTAGAATCAATGACCGAAGTGGAAACAGAAAAAAAGGGTTTCTGGAAAAACGTAGGTGAAATGTTCAAGAAACCATGGGAAAAAATGAAGGAGGCGAGGATTAAAAACAAATTAAAGTCAGGTATTGATAAAGAAGCAAAAAACAAGAATTTTTGGGATGATTTTGAAAATGATCCATCAAAATATTATTCTGAATTATCAACCGAAAAAGTAGAAACAAAAGAGAAAACTGTCGATGCTGTCATGGAAAAGGGAAGAAGAAATGAGTTAATTCAAACGGAAGCTCGTCTACAATATGAAGACATCGAAAAGGACAACCAAGTAAGATTAACAGAAGATAAAAAGTATTTCGAAAATTTAGCGAAAATGGAACAAACTGATCAAACGTCGGTAGCGGAAAGGGAATTAACTAGATTGATGAATCCAAGACAAAAAATTGAAAACGTAAAAAGCGATTCACTTTTGTCGAAAGTAATCGTCAGTCTTAATCAAGAACAGGTTGATGTCCATCATAAAATGTTACGAACTAGAAATTTTGGCGAATTCGAAACGATGAATCAACTGGATAATTGGATGAAAAAATTGGAAGAGACTAGAACCAGCATGCGAAACGAGCGTAGAAATGACTTCAGTGCATTGCTAGGAAGTAATTTGACAATTCCTGATTTGAATAAAGGATTAGCTAAAACAAGTGAGAAGAGTTTTGAATCAAGTGAACTAAATCTTAATCAAGTTGATAAAAATAATGGATCACTAAAGACTACACAACTGAAAAACATTAATAGTAATGAAGAAAAAACCAATATCATCACTGATGCTGATGTTCAAACATCTGAAAAACCGGAGCAAACATCAACATCAGCAGTAATTGCACAAAAATTTCAACACTCGCAACCGATAAATCAAAAAACTGAAAAGATTTATGTGGAACAAGAAACAGCATCATCATCCGTAATCGATGAAGGACAAGACTCAGAGGCAATACAAGTAAGAAATTATACCGAAACAACAAAAAAAGTTTTAGAAAATGTTGAATTTCAAAATGAATCCAAACTCAAAGGATCAACATCTCAAAAATTGGATACAATTTCAACAAATCCTGAAATTGCCGATCCTGTGACAGAAGAAAAATATGCAACAACCAATAAACACGGTCAATTGTTAACTCCAGAAGTCGAAACAACATCGGATTCTGGTAAACAAGGTACAACAGAAAAACAATTGCAATCAACAGTAAGTGAGTCGAAATCAAAAATACCAGAAGAAATTCCATCAGCGAATAGATTCGAAACGGATTCTACAACATCAGCCCAAAGTTCTACAAAAATTAGTGAATCAGACAAACCATCTTTAAAATCAGCTCAAATTGAACAGGTGATGACAGAAACAATTGACATCTCAAGTGATGTAGGTCAAGGCTCAAAGTCTAGCCTAACGAGAAAATTAACCAAAACAATTAAAAAAACTGTCAAAAATCCGGAATCACAAAATGAATCCAAACTTGAAGAACTGAAAAAGGATTCAATTTCAAAAAAGCTTGAAATGGATTTGGGACTCGAACAAGAGACACAAGGAAGAAATTCGCAATCAGCAGTCAGCGATTCGAAATCAAAAACTCCAGTAGCGATTCCATCTGCAAAAAGTTCTACAAAAATTAGTGAATCAGCCAAACCATCTTTAAAATCAGCTCCAAAAGTCAAGTCAACATTAGATTTAATGAAACAAGAAGCAAAGGGAACAGAATTGCGATCAGATAGTGGTTTGAAATCGGAAATTCCAACAGCAAATTTGATCACAGAAAATGTCGAACCAATTGATAAAGATGCCAAGCTTGAACAGGTGATCACAGAAGCAATCGACATCTCAAGCGATGTAGGTGAAGGCTCAAAGTCTAGCCTAGCGAGAAAATTAACCAAAACAATAAAAAAATTTGTCAAAAATCCTGAATCACAAAATGAATACAAACCTGAAGAGCCAAAAGCGGATTCAATTTCAAAAAAGCTTGAAATGGATTTGGGACTCGAACAAGAGACACATGCACGAAAATCGCAATCAGAAGTGAGGGATTCGAAATCAAAAATACCAGTAGCGATTCCATCTGCGAAAAGTTCGGAAATTGATAAGTTAAAATCAAAAACACCAATAGCGATTTCATCTGCAAAAAGTTCGGAAATTGGTAAGCTGAAATCAAAAATACCAGTGGCGATTCCATCTGCAAAAAGTTCAGAAATTGGTGAGATTAAGTCCAAAACACCCACACCAGCTGCATCTACAAAAAGAACATCGGTCGGTCAGTTGATGTCCAGAACATTCACACCAGTTACATCTACAAAAATAGATAAAATCGGTGAGTGAAAATCATTGAGTGAATGGATTTCTTTCTAATTGCCAAAAACTCTCCTTAATGCTAAATCTACTCCGAAAAACCAATTTTTCCAGAAACGACTGAAGAGAAAATAAAAAGATTGAAAGAAACTTACCTTAGATTAATAGAACGTTTGCCAATTGAAATGATTGATGAAAAAAGTGAATTTTTTACTGGCCAGAGATCAACCGGTAATTCCGAAAGTTTAATTCTTGAAAATAAAACAGAAAGTTCACAGGAAATCAAATTACAAAGTCAAAATCAGACGCAATCATCAACATCATCGTCAAATACATCAACGATAAGTACGGAGTTGAATCGTACAGGAAGATCAATAAAACAAATAATTTCAACGACAGCAACACAAACTAATTTACCATTTCCGGATTTAATTCAATAAAAAAAACCTGAAGAATATTTTACAAAACATTCTCAACGAATAAAAACTTTTATTAATTTCAATATTAAACATTTAAAATAAATTTAAACGTGGTTAAACAGTTTTTTATCATTATCTTAATAATCCTTATAAACACTATTCGATGATGATACAGTTTTGGATCTTTATTGAATGGCTGCTTAGGTTGGCTTCACTGCTTTAAATGAGATTTTTTTTCTGGTTATTGTTCCTTCACTTTTGGTTTTTTTTTGTTTCGATCACAATACATTTTTTTCAATTTTTTTTTGTTTGTTTCACTTTACAAGTTGAAACTTTTGTTGAAAATTATAGAGGAATCTTTTTGTTGTCTCTGATGTAGTCTATACTAAATTTATATTTTTTCTGGTTTCGGATATTATACACATTGTTCGATGTTGAATGATGATAATAGCTACCAAAGTGAAAATTTATTATTTTCATTTTTCTTCACTTTTCACATCATACACACACACACGTACATTTTCCCATATCATTTTCTTTCATTTTTTTTCACTTTTTACACCAAACTGATTTAGTGTTCTTTGATTTTCATTTTGTTCGGCTTTTTCGTAACATGTAAGTGACAACAACAACAACAACAACATCTAGCGCATCTCCAAATATAAAATCAGAAATTTTTCCCAGTATGAAATATATGAAACCAAAAATGGGGACCATCTCAACTATCTATCTATCTATCTATCTACTTACTTACATTTTGTACCTGGACCTTTTGTGGTCGTGTTAATAGCATTAGCATTATGTTTTGTGGTTGTTGTTATTATTTTGTCTAGCTCTCAAATGACACATATCATACATTCATGACATGCTTGTTCGATACAGAAAACGACTAGAAAGAAAGAAAGAAAGGAAAAAAAATTCTTGCACTATGTGTTTTTCATTATTATTAATAATAATAATAAAAATTTTGATTCTGTTGTTTTTGGGTAGTTGTTTTATATTCCCATTCCATTCACAACAACAACATCAAAAACGCGAAAGAATATAGCTCAATACTACATACAAATAATTTTTGTTGTTGTTGTTGTGGAATAATATAATAACAACAACAAAACAGAAAAAATAAAAATATATACCTGGAGCTACAAATATTATACAAGGTAATAGAGAATTTTTTTTCGGTTCCTGGACTATACGAATCAATTTATCTCTCTATAGTTTTGTCTATTTTTTTTTCTTGAATGAATTCTATATTCTGGTTTGTTTTTTTAAACATTAAAATGGATGGATGGTATGTTTAAATGATGATGATGATGATGATGATGATGATAAGTATTTTTTTGCTATCTTTCTTCGTTTTTTTGTTTTCTTGCCAGATACGATATTATTATTATTATTTTGTTTGGACATTAATAAGACAAAATCATATATAAGATGCTCAAACACAGGAACAAAAGAGAAAAAATATGTATTCAACGCTTCAATTCATAAACGACAACAACAACAAAAAATAATAAGCGTAATATTCTTGTAGATTTATTTATTATGATTTAGAAATGTTTATAAAGAATAGAAGAAGCAAAAGTCAAAATGGACAATGGTGTTTTTTTGTTGGTTATCAACAAAAAAAACTAGCATCCAAATAACAACAACAAAATGAAACTAAATAGAAAAATCTGAACATCTTTCATCATGTTTGTTGATATTGTTGTTTCTTTATATCTTTGTTTTATCCAAATAAATTAAGATATTTTTCAACATTTTTATCATTATTGTTTTTTACGTAAAGCAAAGAAGAAGAAAAATTGTAATGGCTGATGATGATGATGATGGTAACAACTGTTAAAAAAAAGTTGGTCGAATAAACCAGAAAAAGAACCAAAAAATCTTTAGGTCGATCGATCAATCGATTCATTGTGTTCATTATCATCATCATCATCATCATCATCATCATCATCAATAATGCTTCTGGGGTTTGTTTACTAAATAATATTTATAAAATCAAAGAGCACCATTTTGTTCGAACCAGGAAAAAAAATCCTTGATTATATACCTGTGTAATTTATGTTGTAGGTGTACCGAAGGTCTCCACATCGACATACACATGTATAAATAGTTGATGATTCTTGGCCCTGTTTTTTTTTCGGTGATGAGATTTTTTTTTCTTCTTGTCATATACGTTATTGTTTAAATTGAAAAAAAAGTTCCATTGTCCATTTTTTTTTTGCTTTAGATTGTATGTGGGAGTATACAGTTTGTATGTTTGTATCTTCCCTATATAGATGGAAAAATATACATTTCTATCATTGTTGCGTGTTGATAGTTATTATTATTAACTTTTTTTTCGTGTAATATCCGTTTTTTTGGTTTGTTGAGAATTCCTTTTTTTTCTTGTTTCTAAAAACATTTTGTTTTATTACTTTTTCTTGATCTAAACATCTTTGGTTTATGATGATGATGAAGATGATGATGATATAAATCAATGATGATTTTTATTATCTTTTTATAAAGAAATAATGATTGATACGTTTTGTTCCCACCATTTTCAACAAACGACTAACAAAAAAAAAAAGAATTATTTACCAAAATATTTCCCATAAAAAAAGACAGTATTCCATTTTTTTCATTGATAAAAATTTTCAAATAAAATCCATATTGATGAAATTTCAACCAAGAAAAAAAAATTAATGGCCATTATTGTTGGAATAAAAAATGTGCAAATAATAAAAAAAAAATTTACACAAATAACCTATCATGTTCTATTAATGTGATATTCTTATATAAGATCGTAAAAATTTGAGGAGAATAAAAAAATTTTTTGGCCAAAATAATAATAAAAAAAATAAACTATGACAAGTTGAAAAAAACTACTAATCTATCCATTTTGGATATTTTTATTTCACTCAATTTCCATTCAATGATCAAAATTCAATCAAATTTATCATTTTGCTATTGTCAGAATTTGCATCAGATTTAACGAACGACAAAAATATTTCATTTTTTTTCTATTATTACATTATATTCAAACATTATCATTCAAAATATTTGATCGAATACAAATATGATTGTCTTGTCAAGCTTATTTTCTTCTTTTTGTTATTGTTGGCTTCATCATTATCATCAATCGAGCTAAATTTTTTCAAAGCTTTCAATCTGTTGGGTTGATCATTTCATTAGAAATGATTGAATAATTGATTACATCAAGTGATGTATCTGCCAAATAAAAATAAGATAAAAGAAGAAAAATAATCTCCAAACACATAAGAATTTATAAAACAATATTTTTTCTTTTTTTTTTTGCTCATCTAAAGAATACAAATAAGAATTTTTTGGATTGATCAACATATCTCTATGTGTGATTGAATAATCTTCCTACTGTTTTACATGACTAGAATTGATTTAATCAGCAAACTTCACACTAACAAAAAAAAATTACATTAATATTCTAAAGTGATTAAGTTATAATCGATCGATGATCATATCATTATAATAAATTTTCATTAATTCATTCAGGGATGATATGATAAATATATTAGATCAAATAAGGATAAACAAGAAAAGAAAAATAAGAAAAAAAATATTGATTGAACATTGATTATTATCATCATATCCAGATACACATACACATAGACACAGACATAAACAGGATTTTTGTCATTGAAAATATCATCGTATTGCTATGGTTTACATTCGTACTCACACCGTAAACACACACCATGATGATGGCCAAACAACAACAACAAAAAACAAAACAATCTAAAAAACCACTACCAATAAAAAATGCATGATAATGTTGATGTGAAAGAGAAATTTTTTTTTTTTTTTGATAAAATTCTTCGAGTAAATGCAAAAGTAAAACCAGAAATTTATGTTAAAAAATTATATATTTGATTGGCGAAATAATAAAAAAAACTAGTCAAACAACTACTATGTTCATTTATTTGTTTATTTAGATTGTGGATTTGTTTTTTGGTTTATCATTTTGTAAGAATTCAAAGTTCACATGTGATAAAATTCATCATTGAAATTGAATGATAATTTTTGGGATGTTTTAATGAAATTTTTCGAACATAAAAAAAAGAACGAAAATAAAAAACTTACTGGTTCTATTTGATTCTTGATTCGAATCGATTATTAATATAATTTATTCATCATTATCATCGTTTTTGGCTTTTGATTGAATTCATCAAGGAAACAAAACAAAAAGAATGGCACAAGCAATTGATACAAATTGTATGACATTAACTCGTTATGTAATCACTGAACAACGATCACGTAAAGATGCTACCGGTGAATTAACAACATTACTTAATGCATTACAAACAGCTATTAAAGCTGTTTCATCTGCTGTACGTAAAGCCGGTATTGCACGATTGTAAGTATTTTATTTTTTTTTTGTTTCGATTTATTTTATTAATATTAATCAAGAATTTTGATGATTCGTTTCATGATGATTATTATGATTCGAATGATTAATTTGAAATGAAAATTGAACGAAAAAATTTTGACGATGTCAACCTAAAAATATACACTAAATTTTGTCCCAGTCAAAATTTATATAACGGGGAAACAAAACATAAATATTCTATTTGAAGATCATCATCATTCATATAGTGTTTTTATATATAAAGGGAAAAAAAGATGAACTTTATTAATAATTAATGGCAATCACTGAACGGTTCAGTAAAGTAAGAGATAGTGAGAAAGGGAAAATTCTTTATGATCCACAATGATGATGATGATGATGATGATAGAAAAAGATGAAAAAGACGTAAATGAAACATTTTTGAATCATAAAACTACCATATAACTATTATGATTCTCATCAACAATAATTATCATTGTAGAAGAGAGAGAAAGAGATGAAAGAAGGAAAGGAGAAAGAAGAAAGATGAAGAATGAATTCTGGAACACAATGAATGAATGAATGAATGGATGAGATTCAAAATTCCTATATAGAATAAGTAATAATAATTTTTGTTGTTTTTCTTTTTTTTGATAATAATAATAAACATTGATAGAATTGAATTGACTATATGGTGTACATTTTTAATGAATTTTTGTATTATTAATGAATTAATGATGATGATGATCATCATCATTGAAACCTTTAACACACTTAATCATCATCACTATATCAATGAATACTACGATTGGCTATTTTTTTCAATCAACAATTTATATCGGTAAATGAGAATATTGATGATAATAGATGAAAAAAAAACATTTAACAATTAAGAACTGAACAAATTAAAAGGATTTTGTGATTGCATTGAAAAATTTTTTCTTCGAACGATAAAAATAAAGTAAATAAATGTTCAATTTGAAATAAAATGATAGAATTCATAGATGGCTGCTGCTTTTATTGTTGTTGTTGATAATAAGATTCCATTTAGTGTTGTCGTCTCTTATTTTCAATTTCAATTCAAGTTTATTATGATTATTGTTGTTGTTATCGTTGTTGATGATGATGATAGAATTATTCCTGTATGATGATAATATAAAAACTCTTTCAAAGAATTGTATAGATATAATAAGAAGCGAATGAATTTTAAATGATAAGAGAAAGATAGAGAGGAAAAAAAAAGAGATGAAAATGTGAATTACAAACACAAATGACGACGACAATAATAATCTGGTTGAATGTTTTCAATTTGATAACGTAATGTATTCTTGTATGTTTGTTTGTGTGTGTGTGTGTCAAAGGTGGAATAAAATGAAATTTTGTTGTTGTATTTTTCGTAAAGATCATTATTTATTAGGATAATATTTTCGAATCAAATGTTGTTTTTTTTGGTACTGTTGTTCATATGCAAAGCAAATAATTCAGGTAAAAACAATAAACCGTTTGGGCAAATGATTATGTTTTTCTGTTCGTTGTTAATGTTGTTGTTTTTTTTTTGAATGAATAAATTTATTAAAATGACAGCAACAACAACAACAACCGTACCGGTAGAATGAAAATTAGTTTTTTCTGGTACACAAATGAGATCCACACAGTGTGTGTGTTTGTACGGGAAAATGTCAAATTAAAGAAAACTTATTCAGATATTTTTCTTGTTTTTCAATCAATTTTTATTTGTTTTTTCTTCACTTTCAATTCTGTTGAAATTGATAATTTAATAAAATCGAAGAACCTGGGAAATGAAATCTAAAAGTTTTTTTTCTATTGGGCATAAAATAATTTTAATTGAATTTTTTTAAATGAAATCGTGTGTCGACCGTTTTGTCTTCATTATTTCAATGATGATAATTGTAGCAAATGTTTGTTTTTGTTGAATTTTAATATTCACAAAATGTGAAGGAAATAAACAAAACAAAACAAAATGATGACAATTGAAAAGTTTATATACGAATGAAAGGAACAAATTTAATAATAACAATAACAAATATGAATAAATCATATAACCGGCTTGATTCATTGAAACATTTGAATTATTTTTTGCTGTGGTATTCGCGTGTGTGTGTTATTTGGAATTCAATATTCAAACACACACGCCCTCAATACAAAAAAAAAAAAAATAAATCTGACATGCTCATTAAATATGCAAAAAAAAAGTTTTTTTTTTGCACATCATTTTTTTTGCTAATGATAAATTCCTGTCCATTCATGATTCGATCAACATCATCATCATTAGAATCCAATTTATCAATGTTTTATTTTTTGTTTTTTTTGAATGTTCTACGTGAAATCATTTGAAGAGCGAACAAAAAAAAAACTTTAGTTTTAAACTTTTTTTTTATTGTAACCTTGTTCATACCTTGATTTCTATAGATCTCAATGTCATTTATCAGAAAAAAATTGCAACAGAATAAAGATGTCATCAGCAACTAGAATTGGTAGGTTGTCATCGACAAACTTTAAGAATACCTTTACAACAACTACATAGATTCCATAGGAAAATTGTTCAAGAAAAATTGAGAGAAAGAAAAAATTTCCTACTGGCATCTTTTCTTCGTTGCCAATCAAGATGTCAGAAGAATTATGAAACCTATGGGAAAGGTTCATTTTTCACTAATTAGCATATACCATGATTCAATATGTATATGAATATTCGACACAGCATGCAATATATTTCATATGGAAAATGAGAAAAAAAAACTTTATTATAAATAATATTTGTGATGAACATCTGGATTTCCGAATTCATTCTTGTTTTCTTTCATGAATCAATCGGTTTTTTTTGTCAAACATTTGTTGTTCACACAAACAAAAACACACTATCATCACTATATATAAAGTGAAGGTAATGAACAAGAAAAATAAACCAAAATAAAGGAAAAAAACTTTTTTTTCAATATATTAGATTCAATGATGAAACAGTTTAAAATGATGATGATGATGTTGAGAATCCTCTTGAATTTGTTTCGAATGACATTATTATTTTTTTTTGTTTTCAAATTTTCTTCATTTTTTTTTCAATCACAATGAAAATTTCTCAATTCATTTTATCGGTTATGAAAGAAAAACTTTCATTTCCGTTTCGTTCGTTTCCATCATTACCACCTGACATATGCATAAATGGGAATGGTTTTGCGTTTGTTTTTGTGATTTGCTTTGTTTTGTGTCTGTGTGTGTCTGTTAGCCAATGTTCATGTTGTTGAAAATGGAAATTTTCATTTTAGCAAAAAAAAAATGTGACATTGTTGAATTTTTTATAGCAACTTTCTTTCGCTTTTTTTTCAAATGAAAGAATCCCATCTTTCCTTTTTTTGCTTCAACCAGAAAAGATTATTGAAAATTTGAATTTTTCATTGACAGAAAAAATTGGCAATGGTTATTGATCGTTTTTGGATCGATTTTCTTTTCGAATCGGTTGTTATTAATGTAATATTTTACTGAATTTTAAAAAGCATACAAAACGAAAACAAACGAAATTAGATTTTGTTTCCAATTTAGGAACAACAACAATAACAAAAATTCATCATTTTCAGAAATTTTGTAAGAAAACAAATTTTCTATCCATTTGGTTTTTCTCTACCATCCCAATAACGTAAGATAAGAGAAATTATATTGTAAAATTCAAATTTACAAAAGGGAAAAAATTTGAACATATTATAACTGTAGGCTAAAATGACCTATATGGAATATAATAATTGTCAAAATGAATATAACATCATTGTTTTTGATGTTGGTTGAAGCAAAACTCATTCTCATTTTATTTTGTTTTCTTTTTCTCTTATTCTTTTATTTTTGATTGATTATTTACATCACGTTCGATAAGGTTCACAATTTTTGTAATTTTTTTTCATTTGTTTTCACATTGATTCCAGAAAAAATGTGTTCGTGTGTGTGTGTTTATGCTTTTTTCATTTGGTTTGTTTGGTTCGATTCTGATGAAAATTCAATTATCATTCCGGGTTTTTCTTCGTTTGTGTGTGTGTGTGTTTGATTCAATTAAACAAGAATGTGCCAAATATTAAGTCACAACAGTGAAAGCAAGAGAAGAAGAAAAAACCCGAACAATGTTAATTTATTGGATCCAGAAAAAAAATGAAGAAAAAGAAAAAACAAAACAAACAAACAAACAAACAAACAAAAACTATTGCAATGAATTTGATTTCAAAGGAGTTTTTTTGTTTTTGCTTTCCTGCTTTCTTTATTTCTAATTTGATGATGCAACATTGACAACAAAAACAATATATGAAGCGAAATCAATAATAAATTATTATAATGAATATTCGACAAAAGAGAAAAAAAAACAATAACAGTTTTTTCGGGTTTTATTTTTATTTTTTGTATTTAAAGAAGCGAAAAATTCTGTTCTGATTTTTTTCTCCCATTTTGGTGTTTGTTCACAATATGCAAATGAATATTTGCGCTAGAATGGTTTTTCTATGTTAATCAATCATCCATACCTTTTTGTTTATCAATGATATGAACAATTTGTATTTTATGTCTATGAAATTTTTTTTTTTTAGGTTCCAGACTAATATGAGTCAAGGTTCAATTCTTTCGATTTTGTTATATTAGGTCAATCATTTGACATTTATTCTGAATCAAATAAATGATCATATCGGAAATGTTTAATTAGGTAGCGAACAAACAAAACAAAAAAAAAACATTCAGTTTTTCTTCTGAAAATTCTTTTTTATAATGACAAAAAAAATGATTTATTCAAAAAATCAATGGAATTTATTCATATTTTTTCTTCATTTATTAAAAATAGATATGGTGTTTCCGGTTCAACAAACGTACAAGGTGAAGAAGTAAAAAAATTGGATATTCTTGCTAATGATCTATTCATCAATATGCTTAAATCATCATATACAACATGTTTATTGGTATCGGAAGAAAATGAAACAATAATTGAAGTTGAAACTGAACGTCAAGGTAAATATATTGTATGTTTTGATCCATTGGATGGTTCTTCAAATATCGATTGTTTGGTTTCGATTGGTTCAATATTTGCCATCTATAAAAAGGTAATCATATAAATAAAATACAATTCTAGACATACATTATGAACAAAACAAAACAAAAAAAGACAAAATAATGAGAAAAAAAAATGGACAATTGTGAAATAGAGACCGAATCAAAAAAAAGTAGATGATGAAATATTGATTCATGCGTTTGGTGTGTGTATATAACAATATAATAGTGATCATAATTGACATTTTTAATATCAAGAATCATCATTATTATTATTGCTTTGCATTATAATGATATATATGTGAATCGAATATTAGAAATGAATAACTTATTGAACCAAAAAAAAAAACATCAAGAAAGAAAAACGAAAATTCCGAAATCCAATACTATCAACTTGATTATGATGGGTGATGATTGCGTGCCATAATTTTGATTGGTCAATTGTGATTGGTTTCGTCATGACCTTTTGTTCTTTTTTTTTGTTGTTTTTTCGAATGAAAATTACTGTTAAGCAAGGAATTGTAATAGTAAAAGTCAGAAAAAAACCAATATATTTGATTTTTTCCATCATCATCATCATCATCGGAAAACATTGGAATATTTATCATCAATTTTTAATAATAACAAAATTGATCTATTATTTTTGGGCAACACACAAACTCCAATTATGATGGCAAAACATTGCGTATGAATGAATGAATATACAGAACAAGGTTGATTCTTGATTTTTGTTCTAATTATCGTTTCGTAATTCATTAATAATTATCGACAATATTAATGTTTGTTGTTTTTTTTTGGTACAATCTTTGCGCAGAACATAGAACACACTTTTTCTAACATCTTCTAGAATTCAGATTCTTAATTATAGAATCTTTATTAGAATATTCCATAAAGGATGTAATATTAATTAATTAATTAATTAATTAATTTTGTTTTTCTTTTGTTTAAAAGGATAATAATAATCCTCCTGCAATTAATGATGCATTGCAGCCGGGACGAAAAATTGGTAAATTTATTGATTGATTTTTGGCTTTAATTGAATAATTATAATCATTGAATTTATTAGTTGCTGCTGGATATGCATTATATGGAAGTGCAACAATGATTGTATTAAGTGCTGGTGGTGGACCAGTTAATGGATTTCTTCTTGATCCGGTTGGAAAGCCATTTTTTTCTGAACTTTTTTTGATTTTCATCAAAAATAATTTTTTTTCCAAATTCTAGGCAATCGGTGAATTTGTTCTTACCGATCCGGATATGAAAATTAAATCACGTGGTAAAATCTATAGCATTAATGAAGGTTATGAATCACAATGGGATGATGCTGTAAAAAAATATGTTAATTCGAAAAAACATCCATCGGTATGACAATCGATGATCATTATAAAATGATAATTATTTACCCTTTTTTTCTCTCATTGTTTTTTCTTGGTCTAATAAAATTAGACTGGCAAACCGTATGGTGCACGTTATGTTGGTTCAATGGTTTGTATTGTTCATTATCATTTATAATAATTCTTTATTGTCATTACTATATGCATAAAAATTTCTATTTCTGCACTATTTATTTCATTTTATTGTTTACATCCCTAGATTTTATTGTTTATCTTTCCACCACAACTAACATTGATCATTTAACTAGAAATATTTTTTCAACTGTCACACCATTAAGATCATTTATCATGATCAACATAATAATATTATCATTTGCATCATTTTTGAATAATTATTCGGATTTCAAAATTTAGCTCGACCAAATCGATCTGTGTCGAATGGTAGTTTTAAGGTTATAGTGGTAACACAATTAATTAATTAATTAAGTCATCTTCCATTCTTGCATTTATTCACAAAACGGAAGAGAGAATAATTATTGATTGTTTTATTTAGATTCATAACCTGATAATAACTTTTTTTGTTTTGTTTTGTTATCATTCTTCATAATTTAGGTTGCCGATGTTCATCGTACATTAAAATATGGTGGAATATTCATGTATCCAGCTACCAAAGATGCTCCAAGTGGCAAGGTAATAAAATCTGGATTAAAATTTTTTTTTTTCATGAATCATGATCGCAAAGATTTTGTTCATTTCAATCCATTTAGATAATGATTGAAGTTTGATATCATTATCATTATTATTATTAAAGGAGTTTCCCCTGTAAACAATTGGGTTAAAATAGTAATTTGCATTTCCTTTTTTTGTTTCTATTGTACTCATTTTTTTGGTAAAATGATGATTATATGGAAATGAAATTACAACAAAAATCTTTTTTTCTCCCCCCAAATGTCCATTTGTTTAATGATTATTATTATTGCGATATTTTTTTTTATGTCTCATCTTTGTCCGGAAATTATTTGTCATTCATTTCATTATTTTCTCTCTTTTTTTTATATATTCAGCTTCGTTTGATGTATGAAGGTAATCCAATGGCATATATTATTGAAAAAGCAGGAGGCTTAGCAACCACTGGCCAAATACCAATTCTTGATCATCAACCAACTAAAATTCATGAACGTGTACCGGTATTTCTTGGATCACGTGAAGACGTTCAAGAACTTTTGGATTGCTATCAAAAATCCTGAATAAATTCCAAAATTAAATTCATCGAGCTTAATTATAAGTGATAAAGTCAAAAACAAACAAACAAACAAAATCTATCCTCTCAATTTACAAAACAAAATTTTCTTCCACCTTATTTGTTGCAGAATTTTTTTCTAAAAAAGTTATCTTCCAATTTTTTAAATCATTAATTTTATTTTATAAAAAAAATTATAAACATCATTATAATTATTTTCTAATGTTGAACAATTTTAAGATTCAAATTAAAGTTTAAAATTATGACCAAATTATTATATAAATATTGTATTCGGGTATTAAAAAGAATTACAGAATTGGACACGTCCTTTATTGATGATCCATTGTATTTGTACGTGTGTATGTGATGAGGAGTATTAATTTTTTTTTTCTATTATTTTTTTGCCTAAATCGAATGTGTGTGTTATTTTTGTTTTCCTTGGTGATGTATGGCGTGTCTTTTTTTACCATTTAGGTGTTTGATTATTATTTTTTGCAACAAAAAATAAAAAATAAAAAGGGATTCCGTATCTAACGAATGATTATCTCTCATCAAATGTATTTTTCTGTATACTGTTAATCCAAATCATCAAAACGTATTGTATTTTTTTTTTCGGTATGTGTGTGCGTGTGTTGGTGTGTATATGTCATCGTGCCAGTAATATTTCAAAAAAATATCAAATTTTAAACTTTTAATTAATCGTCATCACTTTTTTCAATTCAATTTGGTTTTGTTTTATCATTTTTATCAATTGATCCCTAAAAAATTGTATGTATTTTTATGTAATACTTGAATGAACAATTTTTATTAACGGAATTTTTTTGAAATTTCTAGCGAAGGGAAAATTGGAAAAACATTCTAAATAAATAACTAATGTATTTGTTGGAATATCATCATTAATTATAATAATGCTGTTGATAATAAAAGAAAAGTTTGTAACATGTACACGTTTATTATTGACGACAATCATATTGATACTGATTGCACGTGTATCTGGATTTTATTTGCCTGGTCTAGCGCCGGTTAATTATTGTGAATTCAATAAGCCAGCAGATAATTGTCGTTCAGACGTTAAACTATATGTTAATCGTTTAGATTCTGAGGATTCAGTCATACCGTATGAATATTCTCATTTTGATTTTTGTCAAGCAATCAATCAAAATGAATCACCGGTTGAAAATCTTGGTCAAATTGTATTTGGTGAACGTATTCGAACTTCTCCATATAACATTAGTTTTCTAAAAAATGAACAATGTAAATTTCTATGCCATAAACAATATGATACTTCAAAGCGTGAAGATTTTGAAAAATTAGAATCATTAAAAAAAGGTATGATGAAAAATTATCAACATCGATGGATCGTCGACAATATGCCCGTCACATGGTGCTATGATGTCGAAGGTGGACAGAAATATTGTTCAACTGGCTTTCCTATGGGCTGTTATGTTGATAAAGAAGGCATCGCTAGAGATGCTTGTGTAATGAACATATTATTCAATAAAAAGGATACATTTTATCTTTTCAATCATGTTGATATCACTATCACATTTCATAGTGGTCAAAATGAAGCTTGGGGTGTTGGCTTTGGTGATCATGGTGGTCGAATTACTGCTGTGAATATTGTACCAAAAAGCATACAACATAAACCAGAATCACCAATCGATTGTCCACCCACCCCTTTTCCAATGGAAATTCCCAACGAATTAAGTAAAGATCAAATAATCGATGTCTACTATACATATTCAGTCTATTTCTCACGTAATGATAAAATAAAATGGTCATCGAGATGGGACTATATACTCGATTCAATGCCACATACTAATATTCAATGGTTTTCGATTCTTAATTCATTGGTCATTGTACTATTTCTTACCGGTATGGTAGCTATGATTTTGCTTCGCACTCTTCATAAAGATATTGCTCGATATAATCAAATTGATCTTGAAGATGATGCTCAAGAAGAATTTGGTTGGAAATTAGTGCACGGGGATATATTTCGTTCACCTCAACATTCAATGTTATTGTCTGTGTTTCTTGGCTCTGGTGTTCAAGTCTTGTGTATGGCAGTTATCACATTGTTTTTCGCATGTCTTGGATTTTTATCACCAGCTAATCGTGGTGCATTAATGACCTGTGCTCTAATACTTTATGTTTGTCTTGGTACACCAGCCGGTTTTGTTTCGGCACGTATCTACAAATCATGTGGAGGTTATCGTTGGAAAATGAACGTCATATTAACATCTCTTCTATGTCCAGGAATAGTGTTTTCGTTATTTTTCGTTATGAACATCATCTTATGGATAAAAGGTAGCTCGGCTGCCATTCCATTTTCAACATTAATCGCTTTATTGGCATTATGGTTTCTGGTATCACTTCCATTAACATTTGTCGGTGCTTATTTCGGTTTCCGTAAACGTGCAATTGAACAACCTGTTCGAACGAATCAAATTCCGCGACAGATACCCGAACAATCAGTATATACGAAACCATTGCCCGGTATTATAATGGGTGGAATATTACCATTTGGCTGTATATTTATTCAATTATTCTTCTTATTGAATAGTATCTGGTCAAATCAAACATATTATATGTTTGGGTTCTTGTTTCTGGTATTTATCATATTGATAATTACCTGTTCAGAAACAACAATTCTTTTGTGTTATTTTCATCTATGCGCTGAAGATTATCATTGGTGGTAAGTAGATAATTTTTTCTTATTTTAATTTTGAACAAAATTTTTAAAAAAATATATTTTTCAAATTATAAATAGGTGGCGATCATTTCTGACATCTGGCTTTACCGCATTCTATTTGTTTGTTTATTGTATTCATTATTTTCTAACCAAGCTAACCATCACCGGAACAATATCGACATTATTATATTTTGGCTATACATTAATTATGGTATTCTTATTCTTTTTATTAACTGGTACGGTTGGATTTTTCGCCTGTTTTTGGTTTGTACGAAAAATCTATAGTGTCGTCAAAGTGGATTAACAAGATGAACAAATAAACAAACAAAAAATCTGATTGTAATTGCAATTAAAATGATCTATTTTGATGACCAAAATATAATAAGAAATAAATCAAACTTGTATGTATCACATTGTGAATCATTATGTCAATCACAATTTTAATAAGTAGGATTTTTCACATATTTCCGAATACAAAAAACAAAACAAACAAATTGTAATTAATTATTTTATTTATTTTTAATTATAATGGTTGAAAAAAATATTCTAATTTGATCTTTATTCTTTATTCAATTTGATTTACAATATTTTTTTTTCTTTTGATATTTCAATTAATGGATGAAAATCCAATGTAATTGTTTCTCATCTCTCATATAATGTTTCAATTCATTCGATCGCAATCTTATTGAATGTTATAAATTCGTTTTTTTTTTGCTTTCTCACGTTCTATAATGTTTTTCATATTTACAACAACAATAATAATAATAATTCATATAAAAATGCTTAAAATATAGAAATATTTGTATAAAAAATAATATATTCTTGAAGAAAATAAATATAATTGACAATTTTTTTTAATTCAACATATTTTATTTTTTTTCTGGATTCCATGGTTTAATTTTGATCACTTCGACTATATCCGTTTCAATGTCAAACCAAGCGGTAATATGTATAGAATCTATAGTAAAATAATATAAACGATCAACACATTTTTTTCTTCGATAAACTGATCTTGGATCGGCTTTTAATAGATTTATGATTGCTTCTTTTGCATCATGTTCATTGTTGAATAAACGAAAACAATGATTACATTTAGAAGAATTATCCATATGAAATGATTGAGAATGAAAAGAAGATAATTGTTGCAAACTTCGTACAGTAAAATCGACTTGAACTTCATGAACAATTTCACCATCTATCCAATCTAGATTTTTAGTCTTTTCTTCAGGAATCATTTGATTCTGTTCAGAAAAGATTTGAACATCATCAGTTTTTTCATCTGGTTCAATATTAGGATTGATTTGATTCGATATCATGGAATCGTATGGATAATCATATTTAACAATGAATGGTTTAATATCAATAACAGGAGTATCATTAATCATATCCAAACCAGATATGTATAAACAACCATCTGAAAATTATCAATATTCGAATAATTAAAACATTTTATCGCCATAATGAAGCCAAACATACCTTCGACTCGATCCAATTTTACAATAGTCAAACCAAACGGATTAGGTCGATGTGGTGAACGTGATGCAAACACACCACAACTTGAACCATTCAATCTGGGTGGATGTATTTTGGCAATAAAACGACGTTTGTTTTTATTTTCATGAAAATAGAAAATTATCCATAAATATGAAAATTTTTCAATACCAATCAATGGATGTGAAGGATTATTGAATAATTTTTTATTTATACGAATAATGCCTTTACTTTGTGGACAGATTCCCGATTGACGTGGTGTACCATTTTTTCGATTGAATATTGATTCAACAATACCGATACTTACAACATCACAATCAATTTTGAATTCATCAATACGACTTTGTTCGGTTTTATCATGATTGGTTATTTTGTTTGTTTCCATCACGATTCCAATTTAATTTGTCACATGTTAGCAATTAAGCTATTAAGATATTTTGATTTTCAACAAAAGATGGCACTCATAAAATAGGTTTTTTAAATTTTTTTATTTGAATTTTTTTTACATATAGAATTTTATTTAAAAAAAAAATATTATTTATAGTTTTTCATAAGTAGCACCAGCACCACCTTCACCTTGTTCGATACCCGGTTCATTAGATTTAATATTAGCATGGAAACCAGTGTCATCAGCATAATATTCGACAATACGTTGTGCACCATTAGCATCAACAATAGTATATGAACCAGTAACTTTGCCTGAAGCATCTTGTGATTCTTGTCGTGATTGTGTACCATCATTAGCCATTGCTTGAAAACCGAATGAAAATGGTTGTGGTGGTTGTGGAATTTCCGGTTCAGCATGACGAGCAGCATCATCTAATGGTTGAGCGATTTTAAATTCATTTACATATGGTTTTGGTGTTGGTTCATTTTTCCAATCATATGGTTTTGGATCGCCCAATTCAAATTCCATTTCAGGATGTGCCAATGTATCACCAATAGTTAAGGCATTGTATTTGATTTTGTTACCAGCATGAGCTAAGGCAACGATGACCGACAAGATGACAATCTTTATAATTATGAAAAATACACAAAAATTTAAGCAAATAATAGAATCGAATCAAACTGGTAATCAAATAAAGAAAAGAAAAGAATTTACCTTGAACATCATTTTTCACTTTTTTTTGTGTTGAACAAAATGAAATGGTCGATACGGTTAAACAGTGGAAAAAATGAGTAAAAATTTTGCTGTACATTGCTTTTATAATGGCTATCGGCCATCTTGTTTATCATCAACATCTTCTTCATGATGTACAAAAAAAAACATATACGAACAAAATTTGTACAATGGAATGATACTAAAACAAAATGAGAGTTATTTTTTCTAAACGAATAAATAAAAAATTGATAAATTCAATAAAGATGTGAATAATGATGATTTTCCCTTCTTTCCCCTCTCAGTTCTCTCTCTCTCATTTTCAGTTTCGTTGATGAAAACCATGCCCATCATTCAATATTGAATCTTTCACATTTTACTTAGTTTTTAATTTATAAATTTCAAAATTCAAGATAAATTAGAATAGAAAAACAAAATTGAAAAACAAAAAAAAAGGTCTTAATGATAAACAGGAAACTAATACTTCTACTCAGGTGGAACTACATCACACACACACCATATAAACATGATCAGTCATTGATCATCCAGACAAATTAATGATGGTGACCAATGTTTGATAATCTAATGATGATGATGATGTGATTTAATATCAATGATAGTGTATAATGTTTCAAACATAAATCACTTGGCATGAATGATTTTTTGGAAATGAGTAAAAAAAAAATCCTTCGGATATCCATTAATAATCTATTCATCTTTTTATCATTGATCTTGTCTGATATTTTCCAAAAACAAACAATAGAAACAATAAATAACGATTGACAATGGCAATGTATGTCCATTGGCGAATCATCTTATTCGATGAAATTAATGTTTTGTTTATCGATAGCAATGATTAAGTAAAGCAAATAATTTCATGCTAAATTCTTGCAAATTGCAAAAGATTCAAATCAAATAATTTTGATTTGCATATTAAATATTTGAACGATGAAAAGTGAAAACAACAACAACAACAAAATCACTTCCCATTTTTGTTTTTGTTTTTTTTTCATGCTTCAATACGATGCGAACAAAAATATTATTATCAAATCATTTTGATTTTGCGATTTTGAATTGAGATTGCATTTGATTTCATATTCAAATTTGCTCTTTTTTTACGTATGTTTACATATTTACTAATCATATCGGAATCATCATTCCAAATCAACCAAACACTATTTACAGTGTGATTACTTAATCCTTTTTTTTTGTTAGAAAAAAAAGACAACAAACTAAATTAAGTGATGAATATAGAAAATCAATTTATTTGTTGTTGTTTTTTTTTAAATTCAATGTTGAAATTTTAAAATAATGACCTCCAAAATAAAAAAAAAGTTTTATTCAGCCAAAAACAGAAATAATGGGGACGTGAAACTAAAGAAAACTGATGATAATAATCATAATTTTGTTAATATTAAAGAAAAAAAATGATTATCATTTGAATTTTGTGTGAAATTTCTATATTTTTATTTATTTGACAGGTAACAGGTATGTAGAAATCAATGTCGATGTCATTTGTTCTTTTTTTTTTGTTTTCACTGATTATGCTATAAATTGATTCATCTTCGAATGAATTTCGCAATATTGAAAAAAAATGAATGAATCTGATGGTGATACTGATTAAATGAAATGAAAACAACAACAACAAAAACAAAACAAAATCAAATTGAAATGAAAAAAAAGATGATTTCAATTTGATTTCAACATTATCATATAATCATTGACATTGTATAATGTGTGTATTAATCATAATGATTATTATTATAACACAACATTACATTTGATAATCTTATTAGAAGATTGAAAAAGAAATATTCCTTATTTTTTTAAACTATAGCAAATAGAATCACACATAAATAACATGGATATGATGAAGATCAAGAGGTGTGTCAACAGATACATACCTTTTTTTTTTGTTCAATGAAATGAATAAATTGAATAATGTTTTAATCAAAACGAAAAAAAAACATTATGAGAATTTATTATTACAACACTATTATTGATTAATATCGGTCATTTTTTTGAGATAAACACACAAAAGTGAAACACATTGATTTCAAGAAATGATCCATATTTATCATTATTATCATAATAAGAAAAGGCGTAATAATGAGATTTATAAAACACAGATAACACACACTCATATACCTAATATGACTATAAAACTACCTGTTTAAATAGATCATCATCAAATTTGGATAAACTTGAAACAACATACACACACAAACACATAATATTAACTAAATAGTGAAAAACATTATTTCATTTCATTTCATCTCATTTACATAATAATAAATAAAATCTAAGGCACACATTTCTAAAACAAAAACATAATAAAAACGAAGACAATTTATTTCAAATATTTAATGTTTGAATTTTCACACATTTTACTTCATCATTTTTTTATCGATACAATTCTATCGTTAATAATCAAAAAATCAACATTATAAAAAAAATCAAAAACAACTTCCTGATGTGACTTCTTGGATAAAATTATTATTATTTTAAAAAAACAATAAACCTGGATTTTAACAATCAATAACAAAGGCAAAAATTCAATTTTTCATTATTACAATGTTATTTGTATTGATTTAAATCATCAATTTTTTTAATTGGATATGTAAATAAACTTTGACCCTAATTATTATTAATTCATTCATACAATTTTTTGTTTTTTTTTCTTACGTGAAAATTTGTTATATTAGAGTTCAAAATAATAATTAATTTTGCCTTTTTTTACTGAAAAAATAACTGTATCATTTAGCTGTTTGGTACAGATTTTAATTTGTATATAATAAGTACGTTCCAAAAAAGTCCATACTGTATCGTCATCATCATAATCAAAAATCATTATGGAAAGAAAATATTAAAATCCAAGTTTATCCAAGTTTAAGCAATCATCATAGCCATAATTTATCAAAGATGATGATGATGATTTTTTTTTCTTCTTCTCTTGATTTTTAGATAAATCGTCGTTAAATCGACAGAAGAAGAAAAAAAAAATGAAGATTAAATCAATTTGATACGATTTGTAATTCAAACAAAATGTTGCTGTATCATCATCTTCATCATCATCATCATAGAGGGCTAGATTGGATCATTGATCGACCAATTCAAATCGATCAAATTGCCAATGAATAATGACAAATTGAAATAAGGTAAAAAAAAAGTAAGATTCAACTTGTGTGTCTGCATGTGTGTGTATGTGTGTGGTGTAAGCCAAGGAAAAAACAATTTATGTTGTTGTTCCATTCATCTTAGACGCAAATACGAATAGATTTAAATTTAACAAATCGCAAATCATCAACAACAGCAAAAATTTTAGTTCATGGTGGTATGAATTTTTTTCTTCATTCGCTAAATTCATCATGGATAGATCAATGTCTTGACTGTAGAGAGAGAAAAAGCATTAATGAAATTATATGATGCGTTCGATGACAATGACAAAAAAAAATGATAGCCATGAAATGATTCGTTCATTTTTTTTGTTTCTTCTCATTATAATCACATCCCTTGATGGATGATGATTCGGCAGTAGAAAATGCACATGGAATCGGTTTGCAAATACAAAATCATCATCATCATCATTCTCATGGTTAATATCATTATTCGAAAACAAGAGAAAAAAAACTAACGATAAAGAAATAATTTGACTTTCTATATTATTATTATTATCATTTTATACAACGATATTATTACAATGTTAACTAAATTTAATCATTATCATCAAGCAAAAAAAAAATGATGATCAATTCAATTTTTTTTCCTCTTCAAGAATGTTGAACATGTGAAAGAGAAAAACTATTCTAAATTTTAAAAAAAAAATCAATTTTGTTTTCAGTGACGTTTTGCATGAATGTTGTTGTTTTTTTTTGCGGAAACAAAACGACAATATAAACAGAAAGGAAATAATACAAATGTTTACTATTTTGACAAACAGAAATTCATTGATTTAAACAAAATATGGCTATTACTGATAATTAATTTTTTTCATTCGTCATTTAAACTGATTTTAATGGAGGTGTCAATGATGGTGTTGCGCCAACTGCACTTGGTCCCAACAATATCTAAATTAAAAAGAAAAAAAATATCATAATTAAGATAGTTATCAAGTCAAGATTTAAAAGTACATACCTGACGCTGTTGTTGACGATTCATTTCTTCTAATTGAGATTTTTCACTTTCGATTAGAACAGGCGCAGAAAGAATAATCGCTGTTGTTGATATAATCCATACGGCCGAACGACTAAATTCATAAAAAGCTTTTCCAAAACTATACGAACTTGTACTGAATTTCCAGGTAAAATCACGAACAGGTTCGGGAAACATTTCGGTTAAACCAATCAATCTTTCAACAATTGTTTCATCCTCAAATTCTTCCTAAAAAACGAATTATCAAATTTTAGATTATTTTCTTAAGTTATTTCAAATATTTTATTTACATCGTCATCATCATCATCGATATCATCATTCAAAATAGTAATTATTTTGGCTACCGTTCCGGATGGACCATTATCGCTACTTTTTTCCGAATTCATCGGCGTAACTATCTATAAAAATTATTCAATAACCAAATGAAATTTCTATTTACTTTTTTACAATTGATTTATACAAACATTATCACTGGCCAAATCTTCCAATTTCAGATCAGTTTTATTTTCATCATCATCACTAGGCTTATCCTATGATATAAATTATAGAAAAAATAATAAAATCAAATTAAAAAATGAATTTTTATTTTATTAAACATGATTATACATACAAGTACAGTAATATCTTCAACACTGGCAACATCTTCAGCTGCTTCTTCTTCTTCTTCTTTCTCTTTCAATGAATCGGGCTGAACATTTTCTTCGGACGACATTTTTGTCTTTTTTGTCACGGACGAATTAAATACAGGTAATTATAACGAATTAAAAAAAGAAACCGAAAATGGAGATAATAATGATAAAGCAACAGAAATTCGACGAATGAGAATGGCCAAAATCACATGTGGCTTGGCTTAAATAAAACAGTCAATGCTGTTCATAAAACTCGTTACTGTGAATCCGAAATGATTTAATTTTGGACATAAAAAAATTTATTTGTTTTAAAATTTTATTTTGGCTTTAAAATTTGATTCTATCTATGGGTTATTACTGTGATGTGGCTTTTATCATAAATATCATTGTAATGCCATTTCGGTTTTTAGCGGAAAAAATTTTACTTCGCCTTTTTTATGGTCCTAGAAATCGTTATCAACCATTATCGTCGACAAGCGTTGCCTCGAAACAACAACAATTCCAAGATGAATTGGGAATCGTTTCGTTTCAACGATTATCGATAATAACCTCAGCCTTACCATTGTTTGGTTTTATATTTTGTGTTGTCTGGTCATTGATGTTCAATTTTGTTGACTCAACTTCTACACATTGTGGCGTGGCAGAATATCTTCCATCAGTTAGTGCATCAACCGGATCATTTTCGCCACAAAAGTATTTATGGCGTTCAACGATAGCATTGCATTCATCGCCACGTTATCTTGTAACATATATTTACTATCGGGCTTTCCATGATTCGAAAAAATTACTAATAATTAATTGGATAGAGATCAGTGCATTACTTGGATTAAGTGTCGTTTCGTCAACCGAATCATTTTGTAAGTAAACAAAATTCAATCAGATAAAAAAATTAATTATTCAAATTTTATTTCATCTTTTTTTTCAGTATTTCATGCAAATTGTTTTTTACTATTCATATCAACATCATTCTTAGGAATGTTTATCCATCTATTACAAGATAAATTATGGTCAATATTTAAGATGAAAATTTTTTGTACCAATACACTTGCATGGATTTTCGCACTATTTTTTTATGTTCGACATAATGATTATTGTGAAACTGGTGTTTATTCATTATTTGCAGCATCGGAATATGTATTCGTTTTGACCAATATTCTATTCCATTTTCAAGCTTATTATGATTTTTATGATACGAAAATATCATTATGTAGAATCTATGGAGATACAAAATTTTCTGTTTGATACAAATGCAGCTCATCTATACCGAATTATTATTGTATAAATTTCTACTTTAATTAATTAAAATTTTTTTTGTTCTTTTAAAACGAATAAATTCTGTACACAAAATAAATCAAATTTTAGTAGCCATTGACCATTTGTATGCATTTTCAAACATTTTAGCCCATGGACTGGCCAATGATTGTTTCATATGTTCCATCGTTGGTGGAATGTATGGCCATTGCCATGAAAGTGTTGCTCGTTCTGGATGAGGCATCATTGCTAGATGACGACCGTCTGGACTACAAATACCGGCAATACCATCAACACTTCCGTTTGGATTCATTGGATACCTATTTGAAAAGGTGAAATTTATAACAATTTATGAATCACGAAATCATCTTAGACAATCTTACATTGTAGCCGGTTTGTTATCATCATCGACATAGATTACTGATACAAGATCTTTAACCGATTTTTTGATCTGATCCGATTCGAAAACAAATCGACCTTCACCATGAGCAACCCAAACACCCATAACACTTCCTTGCATTCCATTAAGCATCATAGCAGGTGTTTTTTCCGGTATCATAACCGAAGAGAAACGACATTCAAATCGACCCGATGTATTATGAGTTAACAAAGTACCCTGAGTTCCTGTGATTGAAAAAAATTAAAATTAAATCATTCGAAACGGCGGATGGAAGTAATATTTCCAAACCATTTGGTTTACTGCCAACCCAGCCCAAAAGCGCCATCAATTGACAACCATTGCAAACACCAAGTGAAAAAGTATCGTTTCGATGTTTAAATCGTTGTAATTGTGCTTCAACATTCGAATTATATTTAAGAGTAGCAGCCCAACCGCGAGCACTTCCCAAAACATCAGCATATGAAAACCCTCCGGGAAAAATTAATCCACGGAAATGATCTAAGTTGACAGCCTGATCAATCAAATCGGTAACAGTAATGTCGACAACATCGAATCCAACCATGAAAAAACTGGCAATCATTTCACGATCACCATTGATACCTTCTTCACGAAGTACGGCAACTTTTGGAGCACTAGTTAAATGTGAATCAATGTCTATGATAATTTGAAAAATAAATGATTTTTTTTATAAGAACAGATAAAATAAAAAAACATTTTATCACTTACTCAAATTAATTTTAGATGGTTCAAAAGTTAATTTCCAATTTGGTGTTTTTCGGAATTTCAAACCATTCTTTTCTTGCATTACACATTCTGGATTAGCTTGATGATTTTCCAATTGGAAACTTGTTTCCTCCCAAACATCACGTAATGTGAACATATGTCCCTAAAATAAAATGTGAACAATAAACAAACGACGAAATACAAATGGGAGAAAAGATATTTACCAAAATCATGACGGTATTGTCGTAACGGATGACAACATCTTTTTTACGGATAGCTTTACCAATTTTATGGGCAATTATATCGCATGATTTGAATTCATTCAGAGCAGATTCAACAAATTCGTTTCGAACTTCAATAATAACAGCACATTCTTCAGCAAAGAATACATTTAATGGATCTTGTCCAAAACTTGGTATGTCTACATCAAGACCACAATCGGTAACAAATGCCATTTCCAACAAACAGACTATCAAACCACCATCGCTAACATCATGACCAGCAGTACAGATTTTATTTTTGATTAATTTCTGAACAATACCAAAACCATTTTTCAAATGGGATGGATTTTCCATATCCGGACAATCATTTCCAAGTTGCTTATAAACCTGTGCTAATGCTGATCCTCCAAGCCTGAATTTATCGTTTCCATTAAGTTTTACATAAATCAAACTACAATCATCAATTTTCAATTCGGGTGTTACTTTAATGCGAATATCTGGAACTGGAGCATAGGCACTGATCACTAATGTACCGGGTGATTTAACAATTTCCGAACCACTTGGAAGCTTAACTTTAGCGGCCATTGATAATGAATCTTTACCACCATCGATACCTATGTTGATTTGTTTCATAAATTCACACATAGCTTCACAAGTTCGTACTAATAATGCTCCTTCGCCTTCTAATTTAGCCGGCCACATCCAATTTCCTTCACATTTGATATCGGCTATTTCGGTGATGGCACAGAACATCAAATTAGTAACAGCTTCAGCAACCGAAAGTCTTCCATTAGCTTCCGGACTAATTAATCCTTTGATTGGTTGTTCACCAATCGATGTAACACTGCCACGATATGTGAAATAATTCAACGCTATTAATGCATAATCAGCGATTGGAGTATGTTGAGGACCAACACATTGTTGTTGTGCAACAAGTCCTGTAACACATCGATCCACTTTGGTTGTTAGGTAACGTTTCGAAGCAACAGATGGCAATCGAAGTACTTTATGCAATGATTCGATAACTAATCTTGTTTTATCTTCTCCTTGAATTACTAATGGTTTCAATGGAATCGTTTTCTGTTGATAACGGAAATCTTTCCTTGGCATCGATGCTAAAACCAGATCAAGATCTAAATGTACTGGATGTCTTTGAGCCGATTCATTTTCGATCAATGTAATATGATGATCGCCTGTAATTTCACCAACATAATCAACTTGACATTTTTCTCGTTTACTTATTTTGTCCAAAATTTCACGATTTTCCTTTCGTATTAGAATGGCATTACTTTCCTGATATTCGGCTCCCCAAAGTTCCATTGTGTTAATAGTTGGATCACCCAATGTAAATTTATTGCAATAGATTTTGGCTCCCATTGGTTCACTAATCTCTTTTAAGACATTTCCATTTCCACCTGCTCCTTGATCATGAATCGATTCAATAACATTTCCTTTTTGATGTTCAATACAAGCACGAATCAATCGATTTAATTTTTGTTCCATTTCTGCATCACCTCTTTGTACTGCATTGAAATCTAAACTTTCACTTCCTTCGCTACCTTGAACTTCAGTTGAACTTGCAGCACCACCACCAACACCAATACGATAAACAGGTCCACCAATTTTAGCAACATTCATACCGCTTTGTGCATGATTTTTTTGAATATAACCATCATCAATCGTACCGATACCACCAGTAAACATAATCGGTTTAATATATTCAATTCGTTCATCTAATCCAAAATCAATGTTAAACTATTTCTTTTTCTTTTTTTTGACAAAATAACTTACTGCTCTGAATTCGTTGTCCAAAACTTCTAGCAAAACCAGCTAAAACTGGCTCACCAAATTTGTTACCATAATCGGATGCTCCATTACTTGCTTCAATACAGATTTGTAAAGGTGAAGCAAAATTATGTGGATATATTTCATTATTATCTTCCCATTCGAGATGATAATCAGGAATATGAAGATTTCCAAATGAATAGCCAGCAGTTGCAGCTATAACATGTGCACCACGACCAGCAGCTTGAACATCTCGAATTCGTCCACCAGTACCAGTAGTAGCTCCAGGAAATGGAGCAACACCTGTTGGAAAATTATGTGTTTCAGCAGTGAAAATTATATGACGTGTTTGATTTTTCTTCAATTCCATCGATGATGCTTCAGTAGAATCTTTTGGTATCAAAATATTTAGATCGGAAAATCCACGTATAGCAGATGAATTATCACTAAATTTGATAACATTATTATCATTAGTATTTTCTTGTGTACTGGTGACCATAGCAAACAATGATTCAGGTACTTCTTTATCATCGATAAAAATTCGTCCCTGAAATGACAGAATTTATATTCTATTATCAATCCTGTATATATAGAGATGATTTATGAACTTTGTCGTTACCTTAAAAAACCAATGACGTGAATGTTCCGAATTCGATTGTGCTAAATCAAAACATTCGACTGATGTTGGATTTCGTTTAAGTTTATCTCTAAACAATGAACAATAATATGTAATATCCCAATCATCAAATGATAGACCTAATTTTTCGCTCACTTCTCGTAATGCCTGTTCACCACGACCAATAACATCAATTTCAAACCATTTATCATCATTTGGTGGAAGTTTAAATGATTCAATTGGTGTATGATAACGTTGTTCAGTCATTCTATCATGTAATAATTCTACAAGTTGATTTTCCTGTTCTTTCGTCAACGATTTCTATGAATAAAGAAAAAAAAATCATTTCAGAATATAATGAAAAAACACAAAAATCAAATTAATACCTCGATTTCAAACAAATAGATTGTACTTTTTTCAATTCGAGATACTTTTTCATCAAGTCCAATGTTTTTACAAATCGAAACAGCATTAGTCGATAATGCTGTACTGAAATTCAATCGTGGTCCAATTTCGATCAATATTGTATTCTTGCTGGATGAATTCAACGAACGTAACCGTGATGATTCACGGTTTAATTTTACGTTGAAATCCGGTGTTAAAATCCATTCAATTTTCGAAAGTTCATCGGACGAAAGTTGAGCTTGAATCAAAAAAAAAAAAATTTGTGGAAAAAGATAATAATTAATTATCAGAAGTTAAAAAATGATTTGATTTTTGATGTCTATCATAATCAGATAAAGATTATAAATGTTACAGTAAATTTTTTTTTCATCAATTCACCATTACCTTGTTGTTCAATATTAAAACAAAATTCTGTTTTAATCGATTTGATAATTTCATTGCCATTATTGAATTGTTGTCGAATTTTATGTAGAATATTTTTCTCCTGATCATTTGAAAGACCTGGATTTTGATAGAATCTTATGATATTTGTCGAAAAAGCCATAATTTTTTATTAAAAAAAAAACGAAAATAAACAAAAACGTTTCTAAGGAAATTTCGGATTATAAGTATTTTGTATATTTTTTATTTATGACCAACCAAACAAACTTGAAAAAAATTGAAAATAAAATCACTATATTCGTAAATAGTTTGAAGAAAAATGTTTACTTTTCATTTATCATTTAATAATCATATCGTTTATTTGATTACAATCATGATCGAATTTATCTTCGTTTTCATATCTTTTCAATTTTTTTTGGATGATAATGATAAATTATAACCAGACAGAAGAAAAGAAATTAAAAAAAAAACAGCGAACAAACGGGAAAAAATGAAATTCAAGAGAAAAAATCTTCCGATTTGAAAATATTTGAAATATTCGAATGATTATTGGATGATTCGATTCGTTCATGATCGTTATGATTGATAATTTATATCATTTCACATTCACGCACACAATATACCGTCGTATGACATCATGAACGAGATTAATGAGTATGATGATGTTGATGTTGATACGAGAGAAATTGAAATTCCCTTCTTGAACGTTGAAAAAAAAAATATATTTCTTGCTTTAGATTTTCTTGATTTTTCGGTAGCTAATATCGATTTGATTTGATTAGATTTTTGTTTCTGTTGTTAATCAATTCATTTCGTATACACACAGAAATACAAGTTTCTATAAAAACACGATTACCTTGAGAAACAAAAAATAAACGAAGAACTTTGAATTTTGTCTTATCAGTCAGAAAAACAAACAATTTATTTCAAAATTTACCATTGATTTTTACAACCAAATAGTAAGAGATGGAAATCAAATAACAATTATGGTTGTATGATTGAATAATTTTTTGAATCAAATTTCAAATAAACTTTATATGTACTTAATCAAATTATCGTAGAACGATGATTGATCAATGAATGATTAATTCAATTTCAAGTATCAATATTGGTTAATACATAAATGGCATCATTATGATTCGATAATATATTGATCGAAAATAAAACATAATCGTAGAAATGGGATTTTTTTTGAAATGAAAATTTTTATTTTAATTATCAACATTTATCATCAAAAAAATGTCTATAATACAGGCGTATGTGTGTGTGTGTGTGAGTTTTTATTCTTATTTAACAAAAGATTTTGGATTTAAATAATAGTAAAATCTACAATTCATTATTACTACAACATTTATATGTACAAAGACCAAAAAAAAAAACGAGTTAACAAATGATTGAGGGAATACGAATTAAGATTGATGTAATGAAGAAAAAAAAAGAGAATCAATATTGAATGAAAATTTGGACTAAATTTTTTCCTATAGAATTGATTCATCAAATAGTTTTTTTGTTGAAATGAATTTGAACAAACAAAAAAATTTTCAATTCCTTTTTGTGAGCATTGTAATTAATACTTTTTTTTTCATTGAGTTTTTATTTGTTGAAGATTGAAAAATTTTGTTTTGTTTCAAGACTAGAATCAAAAAATGTTAAATCAATTAGTTTAAATTGATTAATTGGAAGCCATTTCATGTGACCAATCATTGTCGATTGCATCATTATTTTTGTCATAAATTTTATCGATTGAATTTGTTGATTTTTGTTTGATTGTTAATGGTTGATTCATATGTATGATGTTAGTATTTGATGACGATAACGAAAAATCATCATTATCAATATCATGGTTGTCAATACTATTGTCACGATCATCGAATTCCTTCGCATTTTTATCAGACAAAATTTTTGAAAATTTTTCCATTGATTCTTGTTCATGACCGATTAAAGAATTCATGAATGGTTTCAGTAATTCACTGTTGTGAGAATCATCATCGATTGATGATTGCATATATTCTCCATTTCCATGTTGTTTTCGACCGTCATCATCATCATCATCATCGACATCATTTGAAGCAATATCACCAGTTGATCGGCTTATAGCAGCAGTCTTATCGGTCATAATGGAAGATGATCTTGAATAATCATGATTAGTTAATTCATTCAAACATGGATAACTATATGAACAACAAAGACGTCCATTCTGATTTTTTTTTTGTTGATATGAATACATTTTGTTTGATTAGATGAGGATTGATAGAAAACAAAATCAAAAGAAAAAAAAACAAATTAAAATTAGTGATAAATGGATAATGAAATAACAACAAAAATAAAAATAAGATAATTTCCACTTAAAATCAACAATATTTAGTGGAGGGTTAATGTTTTTTTTCAAATTCGTTAAATCAAAATAACATAACAAGATGCAATAAGGATTGAAAGCGTTCATAATAAATGATGTGAACATAACATGCATTTTCCATGAATCTTTATGTTTTTTTTTTCAGTTAAAATGTGTGAAGTTGAATGGATAATTCTGACCAAAAACCTATGATAAAATCATATCAGGTCAGAAAATAAACCGGAAAAAAAAATTTAAATCTAGAAATAGTAGGGTGCATGAAAAGATAATAATCTTAAATAGATAAAGATAAGAAAAGATGATTAAATAGTTATATGTTGTTGTTGTTGTTTTTTATTTGCAATTATATTTTCTGTATAAATTGTGAATCAATCAATGTGATTAAAATCAAATAAAATGATTTTTTTTTTTTTTGGTTTTCTGGTTGCATTCAATACAAGCATCATGCGAGATTTATGGATTTATTTATGAAAACAGTAGAAATATAAGTGATTTGAAAGAAGAACATAGAGGTGACATTTTGAATGATGATTGGTTACGATTGAATAAATGAACATTGATGATGACGATGATAAATAATTTCATCATCATCATCAAGATAAGAAAATGAAATCAGACAAATTGATGATGAGGATGATCAGAAAAAACCATGACCATAAAAAGAATTTTCAATCATCAAGAAAAAAAGATTGATTGTGTGTTTGATTTCGAAGAAAAAAACGGTGCAAAAATTAAGAATCATAAACACAGACATACATATAGAGTGATCAACAATAATAAAAAAAAGGTGCATCGACAATAATATCGGATTGGTGGTAAAAAGAAAATTGAGAAAATCTGAAGCTGTTTCTCGTAATTAGAATTTATAATCAAATAATATTACCGGAAATTGTGCTTATTATTATCATTATTATTATCAATACTAAAATCGTTAAGGGCATATATGGTTTTCCTATTGGTATTAGTAGTTTTGGGATAGAGGATGCGGATGATGTTACGGCTGAAGATTTTGATGATAAATCAGTTGATGATGATAATTCGGATATAGTTGATAATATTGATGATAATCGTAATTGTTCAATGAACAATTTTGACATCTACGATGATGCGTGGATGAAATTGTACGAAATCGAAATATGGGGGAAAGAAAAATGGAAAATTTGAAAAAAGGGGTAGGTTAATTATGAATCATGCATTATAAATGTATGTTTGAATTTTGTTTGATGTGTGTGATCATCAATGTTTTTTTTTGAATCATTGTAGAAATACTTCAACATTTCTTATTTCTAAAAATATTCTTGATTTTCTTGAGCGAAAAAAATAATGGTAACATTATCCACCAATTTAAACAAAAAACAACTACCAAAAAAAACAACTACCTAAAATCTTTAAAATTCTACAAAACAAAATTCTACAAATGTTCAATCATGATGAACATATTGTATAAACAAATTTGAAATGATGTTTTTTTTTCTTGAAAAATTTTTCCACAAAAAAAGAATCCGAAAAACAGATTTTTTGAGAAAGCGAACAAAAAAAAAACGAAATTAAATCAACAAAGAAAAGAATCAGAAATTCAGTGGGTGTGTGTGTGTGTGTGCTAAAATGTTTACTTTGGTCTACTTTTGAGTTACAAGATTCGGTTTTTTTTTTGTTAAAGCTGATTAAAATCTAAAGTAATTGCTACATAAGGAATTGATGATTAATTTTTTTGATGGAATACTATAATGAACAAAAACAAAAACACAAGCAGCAAAATTTTCAAATTTCTTAAGTAGATATGAATCATCAATCCATTGAAAATGATGATCAAAAAAAAATTGTCAATAAGTAATGGCTATAAGAATTGGCAGGAAAAATAAACCATTAAATTTGAGTTAAAATTGTTAATTTTCAAGCTATAAGGATTAATTATTGAATCAAGCATGGATTAGATTCTTTATAATTTTTTTTCAAGGATTAGTTATCAAAGATCATTAATCAAAGGATTTTTCTCTATCGTTAAATAATGAGCAAAAAAAAATATTATATGAATGATAATTGGTTAATTTGAAAAGATAATTATGATTTTATTGATCAAATTAGTAAGCAATTAATTAAATGGTTGTTTGTTAATGTGGATGAAATTTTAATTTTTTTTTTTTTTAAAGTTTTGATATGTTTACTTACCTGGCATGAACATGTGGCACATTTATCCTTGATTGAATCTATTTGTTCACCAGATCGATAATGACGATCTTGATGACGACAACCAGCTAATCCGGTAAAATTATTGAAAGTTAATAAATCAGATTTTGATGAGGATTGACATGGATCATCTTCACAACGTAAACAACAATCACCAGGAATTCGTACAGCATTTAGGCAATTGATTTGCGGACACTCACTCCAACAATCAATTTCACCATTCTATGAAAAAAAATCAATAAATGAAAATATTTTTAGCAAGATAGATAAATGAATGACATTACCATGCATTCACAGGTTTCACATTCATATGTCCAACGTTCACCATTTTTATACACACGATGATGATTTTCTTGATGGTAACAAACTTTTTCATCGCTATTTATATGACATTCTGGACAGCATTGAGAATCGATCGAATTCTTTTGTGAACAATCACATTGTTTAAGTTGACAACTGACAACTCCTTGGACACATTGACATATGGTACATGGATCTTTTGAACTGACTGGCCAACGTTCATTATGTTTACGTTCCATTCCATTGACGATACAAGTTTTCGGACAAATTGAATCGGTCAATGATATGTTTGCATTAAAATGGAAGGTATGATTATTGCCATCAATATTACAATCACAACGATAAGTTCCTTCAATGTTGATACATTTAGAATTACTTGGACATGTATTCAACAATGGATCGATACATTCATTTATATCTGTATCGTATAAGCGGGGAAAGAATGAATGAATGAATGAATGAAATTCTCTATGAATAGCAAAAGAGAAACAAACCTCGACATTCAAAATCAAATGTACTAAATTCATCATCATTTAATGATAATTCTTTTCGATCTTCATAACCTTGATTACATTCACATCGATACCAGCCTAATTTGTTGATACATTTGGAATTTTTTGGACATTGATGTATATCTAGTTCACATTCATCAATATCTATAAATATGATAATGATTGATGAAGATGGATCAAATCAATTATTATTTTTTATTCGTACACCATATGATCTAAATGCAAAAATAATGTGTGTATGTATGTTTACTTACCCTCTTCACAACGATGACCGTAATAACCTTTTCGGCATGAACACGTGTCTGGTGCTTGACAATGACCACCATTCAGGCACAAATCTTTACATACAGCTGTTGTTCGTTCGTTCGTGCAGCATGAAATGAAAACCAGGACCAAAAAAAAAAGAACAAAAATTAGCTCCAAAATTGACCAATATATAATGTTAAAGGTGTATTGACCTATGATGGTCAAGCTAAAAAGCAATCTTTTTCACTTACGTTTACAATTGATTCCATCACCTTCGTAGCCTGGTTTACATTGGCATTGATAAGAGCCAGGCTGATTTAAACAAATAGCATGTTGACTGCAATTATTTTGACCATTCAAACATTCGTCAATGTCTATGATAAACAACAAACAAGCAAACAAACAAAATTTTCATTTATCATTAACTGCCACACTTATTTTTGAAAAAAAACATTGATAGGGGTTTCACACTAGCAGCAATGTGAATGAAATATTTCAAATGCAATATTTCA